AATTGAACAAATCTGACAAATGAACATTGCAGATTAGCCGGAGAGATAAATGACATTCGACGGCGGAGCTGCTCTGTTTGCCTGCATTCGAGGAATAATGGCCGGACAATTCGTCTGATTAAACAAATGATATAGAGACAGCAGCAGCAACAACAACACACTTGAGGACACACTTAACGACTTAACAATGGCTCTTGCCGTCACTTCACAAAAATAAAGTGTGACAATGTGACGGGGCACTGTGAAATTGCAGAGTTTTGTACTCAATATTGATGATGCATTCTTTTAGTGCCCATTGTAATGTAAATGGTTACTTTAAATTGGATCAGGTGCAGGGTGATATTATTAAGATGTGCATGTTTTTAACCATTCACACCACTGTATCTTACCTCCTATCATCCAACAAATCTGTGACCATTACGACTGATGACCATACAATTGTTAGACAATAATCTCATAAAATATTAACTTGAAGCAAACGCTTTTTAAGGAAAATCTAAAAGGTTATAGCCAGCGTTAAAACTCAGCTGATCGTCTATTCGCTCTTTATTCGGAGAATTTTTTTTCCAGAAATCACAAGTTTGAAAACTAATTTGTTCGACGACCTAAGATGACGGGTTAAGACACTTGAACCGATTTGAGGTAATTTTTCAAAGGGATTCTTGAAAAATATGTTGTAAAAATTAATTGGTTTGTTAGTGGCCCACAGCTAGTCTTTCACACACAAATCTTAAAAAAATCAAAAAATTTATTATGCTGTTGCTTTAAAAATATTTTTAAAATACACTTTCCGGTTTCCGGTTATTAAAAACAAGTACTTGGTAAAATACTATAAAAAGGTATGAACTTGGAAAATTTTACGGAATAGCCTTCTGCAGTAATCACGAAATAAAACACGTAAAATAGTATTTCGGTTTTGCCGACAGATGGTCAAACTGTTGACCCTTTATGGGGGAAGTTCCGAAGCAGTTGCCAATATTGACCAATTCGTATCTGACCTAAGGCTTATATTAATATTACAACGTGCCAAACCATCGACCAATATCTAATACTTCCTTCGTTTTATATGAGATATGTGATAATTTTTGGAAAATATGGAAATATGCGTGAGGTGCCAGATATAGGGAACTATTCCATTTTAATACTTCATCTAATACAGATCAAAATATTGGTATGTAAAAAATTTGAAGTAAATCGAATTGTTATATCCAATTTTATGCGAAATAAAAAGTTTTGATAAAATACAAATTCTGACAGATTTCTGACTAAAAGAAATATTTAGATATAGCAAAGTTATGACAGATATAAGTACTGGAAATTGTGACCCTTTGTGGGTGAGATCCCAGAACGGGTTGGCAGATGTATGTCATCTTCACAAAAGATCTAGCGTTATCAAAAATATGTGGATGTGTGGAAGTTGAAGAGAGTTGGATGCTTATTTCGCTTTCTTTGAGCGTTTTGTTTTTTTTCAAAATTATGAACCCTATGTGAAGGAGGTACCAGAAAAAATGGCCCGACCTCTACAATCGTTATAACAGATCTTGCGTGGATGGAAATATTGAGATGTGCCAGGTCTGAATGGAATCGGAAGTTAATTCCACGGTTTATGAGCTTCATGGATACCCAAAATTTTGACCTTTTGTGAGTGAGGTACCAGAAGGTGTAGACCGTTATATTCCATCTTCACACCAGACCTTGCGTTAATAACAATATTGTGATGTGTGTAATTTAAAGAAAACCGGAAACTAATTTAGGATTTTATGATCGTTTTGGTTATTCAAAATTTTGACCCTTTGTGGGGGAGGTACCAGACTAAATGGTCCGATCTCTACCATCTTTATAACAGATCTTGTGTTGATGGAAATTATAATGCCTAATCTGAATGGAATCGGATGTTAATTTCGCGTTGTATGAGCTTTAACGTTATTCAAAATGTCGACCTTTTGTGGGGGAGGTACCAGATGGATTGGACAGATATATTCCATCTTAACACCAGACTTTGCGTTAATAACAATATTTTGATGTGTGCAATTTGAAGAGAACCTGAAGCTTATTTCGGATTTTATAATAGTTTTGGATATTCTAAACTTTGACCCTTTGTAGGACAGGTACCAAAAGGAATGGTAATATGTATTCCATCTTCACACCGGACCTTGGGTTAATAAAAACATTGAGATGTATGTAATTTTAAGATAATCGGACACTTATATCGCATTTTATAAGAGTTATAATTATTCAAAATTTTGACCCTTTGTGAGGGAAGTACTGGATGAAGTGGAACGATATTGTCCATTTTCGCAGACCAGACCTAGCACTGATGAAAATATTAGGATTTGAAAAGTTGGAGCAAAATCGGATTATCCTTTCTCTTTCTGTGCAATAAATTATTTTCTTTGAACATTTTGACATTTTGTGTGGGAGGTACCAGAAGGAGAGGACCGATATTGCTCATCTCCGAACTCGATCTAAGTGTGACAATAATACTACAACATACCAAGTTTGGATCAAATCGGAAACTCTCTTCAAGAGTTATCATGAGAGCGACCCAGCCAGATAGACAGATAAACGGACATCGACTACAAATATCCTGAAACGGATTTGGTCCAAAGAGACCTAGGGTCTAAAACCGTTGTTTCGATGAGGCACGTTTTGGCCGTATCAAATGATATATACTCTCTGTAGCAATATGGCTGAGGGTATAAAAAACTCCAAATCCTAATAATTAAATCCTAATCCTAACCCTTCAAATAAATTTATGAAAGGCAGTGACACGAAATCGCTTTTAGCTCAGCTCGTTCTTTAGAAAAAGCTTCAAAACTTTCACGCTTTCTGTTCTGTATTTTTTTTAAAAAATGTTCAAAACTTTCACGCTTATAGATCACTTAGTGTTCCAAATAAATCAAATAAAATACGTACCAAGTCCTGCAACTAAATCTGCGAAAATTCCAGGTTTATAGCCCAGCTAGTCCTTTAGATAATATTTCAGTTAGCCCTTCAAATAAAGTTACAAAACCTCCACGCTTTTAGTTCAAATAGTCAAATAAGTAAAGCTTCCAAATACACTCTCGCGTTTATATCTAAAAAATCTAAAAAAATTCACGCTCATTGCTCTGCAACTTTTTCACGCTTATTGCTCACGCTTCAAGTTCAGCTAGTTCCTCAGGCTTCAAATCTTTAAAGTTTTTACTTTAGCTAATCCTACAAATAAAGCTTAATATATTCACCTCTTACAGCTCAGCTTATAGTTCAACTAGTCCTTCAAAAAAATCTACGTTTATAACTCAGCTCGCCGTTTATGCTTCAAAACTTCCAAGCTAACAGTTCAATTTGTTCGTCAAATGAAGCTTCAAAATCCTAACACTTATAGCTTATATTGTCCGTTAAATAAAGCTTCAAAACTTCCTCGTTTGTAGCTCTGCTAGCCTTATAACTAAATATCTCCAAATGTAGTACATCGTAATATTAAAGTTCGTATATGGGCAAAATTAGATCACTCATTCTGGAAACTATCTCACAAAAGGTCAAAGTGTTTAAATAAAAAAATTTGCCTTATATGAAGTAAAAAAGCAGCTGAGTTCGGCCGGGCCGAACTTTTAATACCCTCCACCATTTGGAAGGAACTTGGAAAATTTTAAGAAAATTTGGCCGAAAAATACCGCCCTAATGATAAACGTGGGCTATACGAAGACGTGGACTTGAATAAGTAACTTTTAGTAATAAGCTGTAGTACCGATTCCGAACTTCAAATACGAAATTTGAAAGAATTCCGGTGAATAATGTCGCTAATATCATCAAAATCGCAAATAGAGGGAGTTACCATTACATGGGGGCTATACCAAAAGGTGGACCTGCACAGATAATTTTCTGTCATAGACTGTAGTATCCACTACGAACTTCAAATACCAAATTTGAAACGATTTCGTTGAATAATGTCGCTAATATCATCAAAATATCGAATATCGGGAGGTGTCGTTCTATGGGGGTTATACGAAGTTATGGACCTACATATGCAATTTTTTGTCATAAGCTGTAGTTCCCATTAGGGTTTTCAAATACAAAATTTCAAACAATTCCGCTGAATAATGTCTTCAAAATACCGATTATCGGAAGGTATCGTTATATTGGTGCTATACGAAGACATAGACCTTCATAGACAATTTTCCGTCATAGGTTGTAGTATCGATTATAAACTTGAAATACCAAATTTGAAACAGTTCCGGTGAATTTTTGTCTCTAAAATCATCAAAATACCGAATATCGGGAGATGTCATTATATGGGGGGACTAAACGAAGGCGTGGACCTACATCACCCATTTTCAATACCAAAAGTCCTACGGACGTAATATACATTTGGGTAAAATTTTATCAACCTACTTCATTTCGTTCAGAAGCTAGAGTGTTTTCCACAGACGGACAAAAAACGGACAATGCTAAATCGACATAGAATTTTATGCTGATCAAGAATATATATACTTTGTGGGGTCTAAAATGTATATTCCGAGGTCTTACAAACGGAATGACAAACTTAATATGGAGGGTATATATACTTTGTTGGAGGGTATAACAATGTATCGTTATGATCCGAAGGACCTATTCATCCGATACTATCCTCTCCCTAATAATGGATTAAATTTAAAGTGAATGAAGCTAAATCAGTGACTTCTACTTTCCTAGAGTTTTGCGTATTTGGTGATTGTTTTGCAATGTCCTCATCGTACAAGTGCCTCCGATATTCCCTTTTTTTGTAAAAATCCCCTTTTTTGACCCTAAAAATCACTCTGAGTACAATAATTTATTAATATCGTCCACCCCGCTGTCTGTGAACTTCATGTTACTGAGCTATTATCACCTCCTCTCACTTCCCATATACTTTCCTCTGCGAAAACAACTTGTTTGTTTGTCAATATTTATAAATAAATGATTTAATTGTTACAATATCTTTATTAAATTATTATCTTAATTTGTTATCGTTTTGTTTTACTCCATTGTTCTATTTGCAGATTATCAGATAATTGGCCCATAACTAAATGTAACAAATAGCGATAAAACTAAACCCCTGACGAATAGCAAAGCCCTTGGCTTATCTTGAATACAGATTTTGGTGATATCTCAGTTTGACAAAGAGGAATTATCGTTTGTCCATCACAATTTACAACAACAAATAAGCGACAATAAATGCAAAGCAAATAAGACAGCAACAAATACATCTCCATATCCTCCTCCATCCACAATTTTTCTGTCATCCAACCATATTTGAGGAATTAATTATAAAACAAGGCAAAAACGTGGCAACAATTAGCACATCATTGAATAACTGTTGCATAGGAAGACAGTGGGCCGAGAGTGAGACAGTCAGCCAGCAAGTCTGAGGGAAGAAGAGACTCGGCAAATTAGTGATTGCAACATCAGAGATTGGATTAGATTGAATGGATGCAAGGAGGTGGTAATGAGTATGACGTAAAAATTACACCTCATCCAGAGACAGAGAGAGAGAGAGAGAAAGAGAGAGGCCAAAAGTGAAAGGTAAGAAGGAGAGGAGACCAACAAAAACAAAACCAACTATTGCTGGGGAGGAACTGAGGCAAAACATACGTCAACGACAACGCCTTGTGATAATTGTACCTGATAATTGCCATAAATTTATTGTTGTGTTATTATTAGTATTGTTGTTGCTGCTGCTGCTGTTGTTGTATGGCTGCTGCTCATTTGAAACGGCAAATTTCTCATTGTCCCCAAGGCGAATTTGACAAGACCAATACCCCCCAGCATCGGCACTAATTAGCCTCAAAATACAGTCGAAAAAGCCAACAACAACGATAACGACTACGACAAACAATCTGGTCACCTTAACACCACCACCACCACCGCCCTATCAGCCATTTGTTGGTCCATCAGCGCTGAAAATGTTTCCCTATGATGCAGGCCTGAGATGATATTTGTTTTGGAAATAAAGCTCAAGGTCAAGGCTAAAGGTTGAAGCTTAATCCGATTGTGAAACACTCTCACGCACACACACACACAGAGCTGCCATATTTTCTAAGCTAGCAACAACAGCAAAAGAAACCATTCAAGATATTCTCTTAAGACCCAAGTGGGAACCAATACCCCATCACTATGATGCTACACAATGAGGCCGATCGTAAAAATGAAGATTCTGAGCCATGCCTGCCACCGCCCAGCAGCTGTCAGAAGGCTCAAATAGTTCCGACACATCACACCACACCTGCATTGCCACCAACACAGTCGACAACAACACAAGCTGTAACAACAACATCACTACCACTACCAGCCGCCACATCGAAAAAGAAGAAAGAACGCAATTCCCATGATTTGCTCCTGGAAACCCTAGACGTTCTCTTATCCTGCTTTGTTGTGGCGCCCTGTGTCATTGCCTATTGGCGCGGCACCTGGGAACTGATTGGTGTCCTGATATTTCCCCAAAACATCCCGCTGTCCGCCCTCTGCTCGTTCCTCATTGGCGGCATTGGACATTTTGTCTTTACGCTGACGCAGCGCTTCTTCATCGATCACATACATCCGGACAAACATCGTCTCACGTACTACGTCATCTCACGCTGTTACACCTTTGTGTTCGGCATCGTATGCGTGAACATGTGGCGGGGGTCATGGGTCCTCTGCGACTGGCTGACCAGTGCCAGTTCGTTGATAATCATTTGCATTGTGACCTCGGTGGCGGTACTGTTCCTGATTGCCACACGAACGGTGAGGAATCTGGGCGCTGCACCGTATTCGGTGATAATGGATCACAAGAGTGATTATTTCGATGTGGAGACAATGTTTAAGATTGCGGTAAGTAGTGGCTATCGGATATTTGTTGTTACTATGATATGTGAAAACTTTAACTTTGATCTGTCTGATCTTCTATTGGAAGATCTTCCAGGTCTTATATTAAAAAACAGTTTGCAGATTTTCTCTACAAAGGCCTTTCAGGTTTTTTTCTGACCTTTCTGGTATTCTGGAAACACTTAGAGTCTTCCTTATGAACCCCTTTCGGACAACCTATTTGGAGAACATCCATTGTTCTGTACAAAGATCTTCTAGGTCTCTCGTCCTAGGGCTTCTTGGTCTTGTATGTGAAGACCTCTGAACGATTCGATGTCATACTTGAGAAGACCTTAAGGTCTACTATCAGAAGGGAGACCTTTGAGACCTTTTACGCAGACTTCCGATATTATCTATTCTAGGTAACCCATGAGAAGACGAAGTAGTTCTCCTTAGTTGCCTATAGAAACCCTACCTTCCCCTCTAATGCGAAGAAGACTAATGTTGAATAAATATTAGGTGATGTACGAGTTTTCCAAGAGGAGTTTTCGTTTGCCCATCAAAATTTAGAATAACAATAAAGCAGTACTGCAAATAAATCGAACGGCGACAAACACACTTCCCCGGCCCATTCCTCCTCCTACAACTGCTGCGTCATCCAGTATATTTGAGGTATTAATTATGAACCAAGGCAAAAACGTGACAAAAAATAGCACATCATTGAATAACCGTTGCATAGGCAGTGAGCAGTCAGTAAGGCAACCTGCCAACTAGTCCATGGGACAGAGGAAAAGGAGAGCTCTACGAAGATCTTCCGAGCTTTCACTGTGAAGACCTTTATGGTCTCTCCTATGAACCTATTTCTGATCATCCAAAAGAAGAATATATATTGTTCTATGTGAAGACAATTACTCGTAAATATGCAAAAAACTTGACGTTCGATTTCTGTACCCTCGACCACACATAGTATAGCTCATCGAAATAATAATTGTAGACAAATTGATCAGCGTAAAATTCTTAGACGATTTAGCCCTGTCCGTCTGTCTATAAAATTTTGCACAGATCAGTCTTTTGTCTGCAGGCAGGTCAAGTTCGGTATTTTGATGATTGTAGCAAAATTTTTCAATGAAATTGACTAAAAATTCACAAAAGGAGTTCATTCTGAGTACTTTATCCATCGAAAGAGTATAAGAGTATATATATCCCTCATATAACGGTACCTCCCTATATTCAGTATTTTGACACTACATTTTTCAATGGAATTGTCTAAAAATCCATACTACAAGTTCTTTTAAGCACTTTACCCCCTGGAAGAAAAATGTATAGGTCCACTATATCGTATAGCCCACATACAATGGAAGCCATCCCCTCCCCCTCCCCCTCCCCCTTTTAGTTATTTGTACGTTCATCGGAGTTGTTTCATATTTCGAATTTTCTATGACTGTGCAGGTCCAAGTATTCGTATTGGCCTCATATATCAGTACCTCCCTATATTCGGTATTTTGACGATTTTAGGTACAACATTTAACGAAATTGTTTGAAATTTCCTATTTGAATTTCCTAATAGGTACTACAGTCAATGACAGAAAATTGTCTATGCAGGTCCAGGTCTTCATATAGTCCCGATATAACGGTACCTTCCTATATTCGGCTATATTCTTTACCGGAATTTTTTTGTTTCGAGTTTCCTTTTTGAATGTTGTAAAGGCTTATGACAAAATTTGCCTATAAAGGTCCAGGTCTTCGTATAGACCCCAATATAATGGATATATTCGGTTTTTTTAAAGATTTTAACAGAATTTTTAACGTATTTTATTTTTTGAAAATTTCCAAATTCGTTCCAGTTGGTGGCGGGTATTAAAAGTTCGACCGGGCCGAACTTACTCTTTTTTTACGTGTTTATTGTGCAGTGGTTCCTACCCACTATTTTGCCAAATTCCTGCATGGACCTACCAGGCACAGTTCCCATCATTATGCATATCCTCACTGAGATCATGAATGGAGTGTTTACCCATAATTCATAGACTCTCTTTCTTCCCTCTCTCTCTCTCTCTCTCTTAATTAGGCGGGGCAGTGGCATAAAATGTACTCAAACGGCACATTCTCTTCCGCATCTTGGCACATCCTGCAGTATTCGACGTTGGAGTTATCCTATTTGTCAAACTTCATGGATAGAGAAATGTAATCAATGAGGACTAAAGTTTACTTTAGTTCCTAAAATATAAACTGGCGTGACCCTGTACTGTATGCCAAGTTCGACCGAAGCGAAGGGTACTTTTTGGTGCTCCTGCAATTAGAATATATGCAGCTCGCTATACCCTTGAGAGTTTAGAGCTTTTCTCTATGTATTTTAAATCATGGATCAAAGCACAGCTTTATACAGCAAAAATTCCCGTTCGCTTTTTCTTTAACTCTCAGAAAGAGTTACAATCATTTCGTTTCCACCTGTGTTCCATCCCATTAATGTTAGTATCTTCTAGCAGAGCGTTTTGGAATTGTTCTCCAAAGAGCTGCCAGCCTTGGAAACATTTGTTGGTTGTAATCTTCCCACTTTCCGACGTTACCTTGAGGTATGGAATCCCAATATTGTTACTTGTCTGATATTCATATTAGTTGTTTTTACTCGCGAGCGGGAGTGCTCGAAGAGTAAGTTTACTCTCTTTTGTGTTATGTGAGGCGCGTTTTATATTTTTTTGCTAACAGGAGTACTTCTGCTCGAATTCGAGTAGAGATTGAAACTTGCTATGATTCCAGCATCCCCCTGACAGCCTTGGACAATGTTTTTTTGACTAGATGAAGCTACTATAGTTTTCATCGGGATTTACGAAACAATGGAGCAAAGATTGTTTAAATAGATTAAACAAAGTTGACTTCTATCTGGTTAGGACTTCAATCAATAGCGACCAACCGCGGTGTCACATCGTCAGAAGAAAAACAGACTGGTAATTTATCTGAATGGGATTCGACCAGTTTCGACCAGTTGCCGCAGATGCTACTACAGGTTATATATATTTTTTGGGCTTGAGTGCTCCTAAGAATCAAGATTGAGGTGTGGTATCCAAAATCAATCAGAGGTATTTCTATTTGGGGTTATGTTTAAGTATTCATGGCAAGGACTTCTTGTGGCGCCCAAATGTCAATAATTTATAATGTTTATTTTTGTGCATGAACACATTTCAAATCTGATATATCATTGATTTCTGGGTTTTTATTTATTTTTTGATATCGTAAGTTATTCGACTTTCTTGAAAGAGCTATCCAATTCAGTTTTTCGTTTTTCTTTTTCTTCTCATTTTTATATACATCCTATTTCCCCTCTAATTATTAATCGAATATGAATTTTGTTCCCCAACAGGGCTTTCAACAACCTGGCCTATATGTTATGGACACATTATTTTCGATATTTGTTATTGGTACACTGGTGGTAATAGCATGGAGAGGTCTGTGGGGCATAATGGATTTAACGGTGTATCCCGGCGAGAAGGCCAAATCGGCATGGTCATCATTGGTAAGAAGGAGTAAAAACATGTCCAGACGCTTATCATTGATTATCTCCTTCTCTCTCTCTATTTCCCTTGTAGATAATGGGTTATGTTACGGTCGGTTTTACATTCGTTCTGCATCCCTTTGTCCGTTGGGTGTGCAAGCGTATAGATGGCATTTTCAAATTGATATTTTGCGATGTGTATTATTTTGCGGAGTTTTTCGGGGCGGTCAATGCCTGGCGTGGCATATGGAATCTGTTGGATGTGTATGTTTATCCAGGTGAGTATGTGTGATGTGTTCCCAGATAGGTATTTCATTTCAATTTACAAACTTTGTTATTTACAGATAATCTAATCTTGAGTTACTGGCTAACCCATGTCATTCCGTTTCTGATTCTGGCCGCCCTCAAGTGCTCCAATTCGATTTTGGTGCGTGGTGTTTACTTGGATGCCGATGGTGTGGGCGGTGAATGTGTCGATATACCCATACACTATGTACGCCTACATTTCGAAAGGGAACGCAAGAAACGTTCCATGGGCTTTGGCTATGGCCACCACCACCACCACCAAACGAAACCAACGAATCTTTTAGTTAAGACACCTAACGATAAGAATGCCCAAAGAGTTCTAATTGAAAAACCCATGAAATCGGAGATTAAAATACAATCTGGCATGGATGCTGCCACGCAATTGGTTTGACCCGCTCGAAATTGAACTGATTAGCCAGGCCAGCCCCACCACCATCTCATTCTCATTAGCAATTGTAGAAAGCAACTATCTTTACTTCTCACCTCCCCCCACGCCACATTCTCTGCATAAACTCCAAAAAAACAAAAGCAAGCCAAGCCAAAAGCAGCACCCCAAATCTCCACAAGAGATTAGGAACCGAATTCCAAAACAGAAAACAGCAACAACAACGATTCCCTAGACTACATTCCATTTTTTGTATTAGTCCTTCTCTCCACACCCATATATATATAAAAATAAAACAAAAGAACCTATATCTCTTGTACTATTTAAGATGTAAGAAAAGAAAATTAACAAAAAAATACTTAAAGTTTTTTGTAATTGTTGTGTTAGATTTTGTTGTTTAATTAATTAAGTTAATTATTTTTATTTGTTATTATAATTATTAAAAAATTATTACTATTATTATTGTTGTTATTATTAAACAAACAAACAAGAAAAAACAAAAACAAATTGTAAAATTGTACAAATCATTCGCGTTTAAGTAGCAAAAGTTCCAAACGATCAAAAAACCCCAAGACAAGAAATGACAATAAAAAGAATTATAAATCTCCATAATTTAGATGATTATTGTGTTCTCTTTGTATGTACAGGGTGAGATAAAAAAAAAACTGCAACAAAGTCAAACGCCATAATTTTATTTTTTTTTTTTTTTTTTTTGTGGAAAACCGAAAGTGGACATTTTCAGCTGACCTCTTTGGTAAGTAAACACGATCATTTTGTTTGTTTACAAACTGCTGGACATGTTTTCTCATCGAAGGCGGAGAAAACCAAATTCGGCCGTTCACTTCTTTCGGCCAAGCGAAGCAACTCTATAGATCTTTTGAGTCTATTTTCTTTCTGTTGCGGTGTAAGTTCTTGCACATTTTTGAAATTCAATGGCTTTACCCCGAACAAATTTTTTAATATTTGCCGAATGAATTATTGCGATATGTTCAGCTTACGAGCCGTTTTCGGCCACTGCGACGCGGGTTTCGATCAAGTCGCTTCTTTACTTTTCGAACCATTTCTGCTGATGTTGTTGTTTTCTTCCGTCCACTTCCTTGATGTCGGGCTACGCTACCAGTATCACGGTAACGAGCGATGGTACGAGACACAAAAGATTTATTCACATTCAAATGCTGGAGTGCTCTAACGATAGCCACTTGTGGTTTTGTAGCCAAATATAAAGAAACCACACTATCAGGCTTGAATTCCATCACGAATAACTCTTTTTCTGGAAAATTCTCACCAAAATGCTTTTGTACGCTTGTAAACAATATAATGATCTGTCACTGGAATAATTTTAACAGCTGTCTGTAGAGTAGCTTAGAAATGACAGCAGTCTAAAGTTGGTTGTAAATCCTCTTAAATACCAAATTTGAAACAATTTCTTGGGTTAATGTGACTACGATTATCAAAATACTGAATAAAGGTGGGTAATATGTTCGCTATAGGAAAAAGTGCACCTAAATAGTCAATGTTCTGCTGCCGGAGCTAGATCCCATTATGAACTACAAATACCAATTTTTGGACAAATCCGCGGAAAAATGTGGCAAAAATCATCAAAATACCGAGTATCGGGAGGTACAGTTATATGGGGGCTATACAAAAACGTGGACTTATGCGTACAATGTTTCGCCACAGGAGACCTACAAATACCAAATACCTACAAATACCAATTTTTCAACAAATACGTGGAAAAATGTGGCGAAATTTATCAAAATACCGAATATTGGGAGGTACCGTTATATGGCGACTATACCAAAACGTGGAGCGATATCTCATGGGCAAAATTACAAGAAAATCGAATATTTATCTCCAATTTTATACGAAATCATAAATTCCACATTCATCCCAGGTCTCTGGTTAAGAGAAATATTTAGATTAGCAAGTTGTAAAGAACCGCTGAATTGTTTCGCAAGTTACGACAGATATAAGTAATGAAAATTGTGAACCTTTGTGGGTGAGGTACCAGAAGGGGTTGGCAAATACATATCATCTTCACACAAAATCTTGGGATAGCAAAAATATGTGTGAAATTTGAAGAGTGTTGGATGCTTATTACGCTTTCTTTGAGCGGATGCTTATTTTTATGATCGTTGTCATTATTCAAAACTTCGACCCTTTGTGGGGGAGGTACCAGAAGGAATTGTCCGATACCTACCATATTTATAACAGATCTTGTGTTGATGAAAATATTGAGATGTACCAAGTCTGAATGAAATCGGAGATTTATTTCGCGTTTATGAGCTTCATGAATATTCAAAACTTTGACCCTTTGTGGGGAGGTATCAGAAGGAGTGGACTAATATATTAAATTTTCACACCAGACCTTGGGTTAATAAAAATATTTGGATGAGCGAAATTTGAAGAGAGTTGGATGCTCATTTCGCTTTCTTGGAACGTTTTGATTATTCAAAACTCTGACCCTTTGTGGGGTAGGAACCAGAAGAAATTGTCCGATCTTTGTCATCTTTATAACAGATTTTGTGTTGATAGAAATATTGAGATGTGCAAAGGCTGAAAGGAATCGGATGATAATTTCATGTTTTATGAGCTTCATGAATATTCAAAATGTTGACCCTTTGTGGCAGAAAAAAATGATTTATAATGCATAAAGGGATGACGACGATATTGATATTTGGCGGAATGTGACTTTCGAAAAAAAAAAATAAATAAAAATAGTTGGCCCGACCCAAAATAAAATCCACCTGCAGTCAATTTATTTCACTTAGTCTTAATGCCAAATGTTATGACGCCCTAATGATTTGTTAGGAAAATTTCAATTTTTCATATCAGTGCCTAATTTTCATATCAATGTCTAATTTTTCCTAGACCTAGTCAATACGTTTGCTTCCGTATCAATTGCCAAAAGTAAAGTACCCAAAAAAATTATACAAAGTAAATAGATACGCTTACATTTTGAGTAGTATATCCGTCCGTTAAAAAATTTAAAAAATTCTCCCTTCCTATTTGTCGTCAAATTTACAAATACAACCGACCAACATCCGACCATCAAATATTTGCATCATTTTGAAAATGTTTTCAATTTGGGCGCCAAGGTGTTTACAAAAATATTCGAGCCATCATTTTCAATTAAATGAACGGCCGACACAATATGATCTACATAAATCAGTTCTTATGTTTGTTTATCATCCGAAAAAAAAAAAAACGAAGAAAAAACTATTATATATTAACCCATTTGGGGATGGTTATTAAATGTTGCAAACATTTTGTTCAGAAAAAATTAAAACAAGTTAAAAAGCAGTAAGTTCGGCCGGGCCGAACTTTTAATACCCTCCACCTGTTCTGTTAAAATTTTAAAAATACCGAATATAGCCGTTATGTTGGGGTCTATACGACGTGGACATACATATGCATTGTTTGTCATAAGCCATTACCATATTCAAATTCGAAACTGGACCCGCACCGACAATTTTCTGTCACAGACTGTAGTTCCCATAACGAACTTCAAATATCAAATTTTAAACAATTCCGGTTAATAATGTCGCTAAAATCATCAAAATACCGAACATAGCAAGGTGCCGTTATATGGGGGCTATACGAAGACGTGGACCTGCACAGACAATTTTCAGTCTTAGGGTGTAGAATCCATTTGGAACTTAAAATACCAAATTTGAAACAATTCCAGTGAATAATGTCGCTAAAATCATCAAAATACCGAATATAGGGAGGTACTGTTATATTGGGGCTATACGAGGACGTGGACCTGCAAAGACAATTTTCTGTCTTAGGGTGTAGTATCCATTTGGAACTTCAAATACCAGATTTGAAACAATTCCCGTGAATAATGTCGCTAAAATCATCGAAATACCGAATATCGGGAGGTACCGTTATAAGGGGGCTATACGAAGACATAGACTTGCACAGACAATTTTCTGTCTTAGGGTGTAGTATCCATTTGGAACTTCAAATACCAAATTTGAAACAATTCCGGTGAATAACGTCGCTAAAATCATCAAAATACCGAATATAGGGAGGTACCGTTATATTGGGGCTATACGAAGACGTGGACCTGCAAAGACAATTTTCTGTCTTAGGGTGTAGTATCCATTTGGAACTTAAAATACCAAATTTGAATCAATGCCGGTGAATAACGTCGCTAAAATCATCAAAATACCGAAAATCCGGAGGTACCGTTATATGGGAGCTATATGAAAACGTGGACCTACATGGCCCATTTACGAACTTAACCTGCCTACTGGAAAAATAAACATGTGTGCAAAATTTTAGCCATCTATCTCAATTTATTCGAAAGATAGCGTGATTACAACAGACAGACAGACGGACAGACAGTCAGACAGACAGACAGACAGACAGACAGACGGACAGATAGACAGACAGACGGACATCGCTAAATCGACTTAGAATTTTACGCTGATCAAGAATATATATACTTTGTTGGGTCTGACATGAGTATTTCGAGGAGTTACAAACGGAATGACAAAGTTAATATACCCTCCATAGTATGGTGGAGGGTATAAAAAGTGTTAGGCGTGGTAGGTCATAATTAGTTAGTTATTAGAATGGTTTGTTTTCAAACAGACTTGCCATTTACAATCTCGCAATGGTTACAACATATTTTAGAAGGGTAGGACAAGCCAGGGGATTGGTTACGTATTGAACTCTCTGTCCAACACAGATCTATCTTACAAGAACTGGAAATCATACCTAAGGCGTAGAAAGATATCAATCAAGATCGGAACTACCGAGGTTGCTTGCAGTAGTTTCAACAGAACTAGGAGAAACAGTCAAAGCATAACAGATATCACAATTGCGACATGATGTCTCTTGGCAGCCCATATATTAGGTTAGGTTAAAGGATGTACAGTTGCTTCGTAACAATCATTCCACTCGGACACCTACTGGTCCATCCTAAAGTTTAAGAAAAAGGGAAACGGCAAAGATTTTAGCAAGTAAAAAAACAGCTAAGTTCGGCCGGACCGATCTTTCAATACCCTCCACCATTTGGAAGGAAGAAAACAAATAAAAAAGCTATATGTTCCGAAGCCGAATTTAGAATACCCTCCACCATTTGGAACAAATTTAGAAATTTTCAAAAAACAAAATAAAATCCGTAAAAAATTGTCTTAAAATCGTAAAAATAGCGAATGTTGCCGTTATATTAGGATCTATAGTACGACGTGGACCTGCATAGGCAACTTTTGTCATAAGCCATTACAATATTCAAATACGAAACTATTAAAAAACGAAATATAGCTAAAATCATCAAAATACCGAATAAAGGGAGGTACTATTATATGGGGGATATACCAAAACGTGGACCTGCACAGGTAATTTTCTGTCTTAGGTTGTAGTATCCATTAAGAACTTCAAATAGGAGATTTGAAACAATTCCGTTGAATAATGTCGCTAAAATCATAAAAATACCGAATATCGGGAGGTACATGTTATATGGGGGCTATACGAACCGGCAATTTTCTGTCTTAGGCTGTAGTAGCATATACTTTGTGGAGTCTAAAATGGATATTTCGAGGTGTTAAAAACGGAATGACAAACTTAATATACTACCCTTCATACCATAGTGGAGGGTATACAAAGAATAATGAGTGATCCACGAAGAAATAAACGTGTCGTCTTTAGCCACTTTAATCCACTGGCTAACTGAAGAATGACTTCTGGCTCAGTTTCGGACAATGACAACAAATCGGGCAGAATTTGCTTCCTTTAAGCCTAGGTCTAACACCGAAATGAGTTGGACAGTGGCAGAATAAGTGCTCTACCGTTTTAGCTTCCTTCTCGTCTTAACAAAGATGCATTATTCAATATCATCGTCACCCTACTTTGAGTCATATTACAGTGACCTGTGATTATTCCCACAAAAGTTTTAGGTGTGAATTCGCCTTGGATATGAGCGACCTTGATCTCTTCCCAGAGAGTAACGGCCAAATTTTATTAGAGACCAGTGGGAAGAAGTGGCACACGGGAGACTCCGCCGAGTTCTCGATCTCCGAATCGATTGACTAGGAACTACGTCTTGCCAAGTCATCTGCTGATCCATTGTCAGAGATGTTGCAAAGGCCTGGAACCCAACAAAGCATAATGGACGATTTTGTTTTTTTCCAGTGCATTCTTACACTCCAATACTGACATACATTTAATGGTACATGAATTTAGTGCTTTCGGACTTTTTCCAGCAGATCTATGCCTTTTTTGATATTTCTGCCTAGAATACGCTGCAGTTACTCATATCAGTTCCAGTGTTGTAACAATTCCGGTTTAATTCAACTGTCAATTCACTCATTTTGGGATCAGTAGGGTTGGAATCCTACAGACCTTATAGTCATATACCAAGCTGGAAACGCATAGTTTCTTACATTTTGTTGATGGAGGGTACCAGTCAAACGTGCATGCCTATCAACATGATGCCCTCCCTCCCTCTCTAGAGAGAGAGAAGAATGTTTTAGGATAATTAGGATGGCTGTACCGTCTTTGTATGACAGCGCACGAATAAGACCTTCGAATCTTCGATTAAGTAGTATTTTAGAGTCATTTAAAGGTTCCCAGTTACGGTTCTAAGGGCAGCGTTTTGGCAGAACTATGTAAAAAGATCAGCCCTATCTGATAGGCATACGGAAGTAGAATTGTGCTTTGGATTTCCCTACCCCATAAGGGGTAAACAATTAGAATTACTGTCTCGACAATACCAGGATCGTTCGTTACCGTAATACTGGTAGCGTAGCCCGACGTCAAGGAAGTGGACGTGGAAGGAAGAAAACAGCAACATCAGCAAAACAGCAATGGTTCGAAAAGTAAAGAAGCGACTTGATCGAAACCCGCGTCGCAGTGGCTCGTGAGCTGAACATATCGCAATATTCCATTCGGCAAATATTTAAAAATGAGCTCGGGGTAAAGCCATTGAAGTTCCAAAAAGTGCAAGAACTTACACCGGAATAGAAAGAAAATAGACTCAAAAGAGCTAAAGAGTTGCTTCGCTTGGCCGATACTGGTGCCTTCGGTTGACCACCAGAACTCAAGCGCCGGCCATGGTGATGGTGTGGGCCGCCATAACAGCCGATGGTCGCTCTCCGCTCTTATTAATCGACCGTAGCATCAGAATAAATGCCGAATATTATGGCGAAAATATGCTGAAGATGTATTAAAGCCTTGGGCACGCAAACATTTTGGGCGCAGACCTTGGACAATCCAACAGGACTCAGCACCATCGCTCTCAGCTCGCGCCACCGAAGAATGGTTACAAAATGAGTTTCCTCGCTTAATTTCCAGCGCACATTGGCCACCAAAATCTCAGGATATCAATCCGTTGGACTATTGTGTCTAGAGTATTTTGGAAAGCAAGGTTGGCACTAAAAAAATCATGTCGATCACCTCAAGCAAGCGCTTCGCCGGGAATGGACAAAAATACCGCAGAACAACATTCGGGCAGCGTGTGACGGTTTCATTGGCTGTTTGAAGGCCATAATTCGTGTCAAAGGTGACGAATTCGAACAAATCTAAACTTATTCTAAAACTTGATGCTATTTCCGACATTTTTTGCTTTCATTCAATAAAATTTAGAAAAGAAATGTAAACATTATGGCGTTTGACTTTGTTGCAGTTTTTTTTTTATCTCACCCTGTAGTCTCGCATGTGTTTATAACTCTTCAAACTAGAAATAGAAGTGTAGGAAAATTAACAACTATTTTTTATATTATATATTCACAACGTACCTTTAAAGACCCCATGAGTATCCCAAATGCATAATGTTTGTCTTTGTTTAATTTTTTAAAAATTTGTTTTTTTTTCTTTTGGTTTCTTCAATAGAACGTAAAACTTTCAGATAGAAAGTACTGGCAAAAATACGAAAAAATTGAATTGAAAATCTCATGAGTGAGCGACGAATGTAAATCAATCGGGGACAATATCAACAACAGCAACAACAATAGAAAATAAAATACGTTTGTTATTTCATTTAAACTTTGGGTTTCGGAACATTTAGTGGTCGTGCAATCCGTCAGCTAGCCAGCCAGTCAGCCAGTTAGTCTTCTGTTGGCCAACATTATTTACTCATTTACTTAAGGCGAAGCTACAAAAATACAATCGATCGGAGGCGGTGATTCGCGTCAAGAAATTTCACTTTAGTTGAAATCGAAAGAGCAAAGAATTGGGAATCGAAGGAAAAAAGAAGAAAATCAGTAGTGAAGAGCTCTGTTGGAAAAAAAATTACGAAATAAATTAAAACGTATTAACTTTCCATCAAAAAAAACTGAAAAAATTGAATATTATCATCCATTGATGTTGTGTTCCAAAGCGGAAAGCTAGCTAAATTATTAAAATTATAAATTTAAATAAAGCATCGGAATTCCTGCCAGTTTATATAACCCCCCTGACTCTGAGTGTGTGTGTACGTGGGTGTGTTAAAACTCTAATCCAAAGATATGGGTATTCCAGACATACGCCATTTAATCTCTGTGGAATTTGAAGTATTTGGTCATGTACAGGGTAAGCATGTTTTGCATGAATGAATCCAATCAGCAGGTTCTAGAATATTACACTGTACGGCAGAAAAAGAAATGTACAGATGACTCCGTATAACGGCATTTTTAAACATTGAGATTAATTAAACTGTTAAGGATATTTTGAAAAAGAAATCCCGCAATAAGAGAAAAGAATAAACAAAAAAATAAAATTTGGTACAAAGAACAGGTTTTTAAGAAAATAATTCCAAACCTATGGGATACCTACAGTGATTAAAAAACTGTGTGATTAAATGTTGACGTTACATGGGCGGTGAAACGAAACCTGCAAAACTACTGAATATTTCGGCGTTACTAAAAATGTGGCTAGAACTTTTCAAAAACAAGTTAAAAAGTATCAATCAATGTTCGATTATTTGAATATATTTTGACTTCTGTTATGATTTTTCAAATTGTCGACCCTCTATGGAGTAGGTTCCGAAGGAATGGGCCAATTTGGTCCGCACCTAAATAAATATGATATAAATATTACGACGTGCCAGGTTTGGACTTTTATTTTGGTTTGGATTTTTATTTCTATTAGATAAAATATGAAAATGGAATACTTCCGTCGACTATATCGGGTACCTCTGGGGAAGGTACATAAGAAGTGGGGGCACATCTTGTGTCAGTAGAAATAATTTGATGTGTGAAATATGAAGAGTATCGGATGCATATTTTGCATTTTATAATCGTTTTGGTTGTTCAAAACTTTGACCCTTTGTGGGGTAGGAACCGGAAGGAATTGTCCGATCTCTACCATCTCTATAATATATCTAGTGCTGATAGAAATATTGGCATGTACCAAGTCTGAAGGGAATCGAATGTAAATTTCGAGTTTTATAAGCTTCACGGATTATCAAAATTTTGACCTTTTGTGGGGGAGGTGCCAGAAGGAGTGGACCGATATATCCTATTTTCACATCAGACCTTGGGTTTATAAAAATATTATGATGTGACCATATTTAAGAGAACCGAATGCTTATTTCTGTTTTATGATCGTTTTCGTTATTCAAAACTTTGACCCTTTGTGGGAGAGGTACAAGAAGAAATGGTGTGATCTCAACTATCTTTTTAAAAGATCTTGTGTTTATGGAAATATTGAGATGTGCCAAGTCTGACAGGAATTTGGTGCTAATTTCGTATTTCAGGAGCTTTATGAATGTACTAGAAGGAGTGGACCGGTATATACCATCTTCACACCAGACCTTGGGTTAATAAAAATATTGTGATATGTGTAATTTGAAGATAATCGGACACTTACACCACATTTTATAAGAGTTATAATCATTCGAAATTTTGATTTTTTGTGGGGGAGGTACTTGATGGAGTGGACCGATATTGTCCATATTAGAATTTGCAAAGTTGGAGCAAAATCGGATTTTCATTTCTTTCTCTGTGCAGTAAAATATTTTCTTTGAAAATGTTGACATATTGTGTGGGAGGTATCAGAAAGAGTTAACCGATATTGACCATTTTTGACCTCATCTAAGTTTGACAATAATATTACGATGTGTTAAGTTTGAATCCAATCGGATACTCCCTAGGAGAGTTATCGTGGGCACCAGCCAGTCTGAAACCTCCAAAATTAACTAAATTAAAGACGTACCTTCACTACATGGGGTTAAACCAAATTATTGACCTGTGTAAATTGACATTTTTGCAGGACCAAATTCTTGATACTGTGAAGGCACTTGTTTCGAAATTTTTACTAAATCATTCAAAATATAGATGGTTATATGGGCGCCACACCTAAACGGGTCCGCTATATATTATTTTCAATACCAAACATTCTAGGAATACTATCAGTGTATCAGATTCCAAACAAATTTTCAAAATTGAATTTTATGGCCCAACACATTATGAAGATCAGACCGATATGGTCAATTAGACTCCAAGACGAATTGAAATGGCTGCAAAATTCTAATGACGTTTGTGTCAGAGACACTTGCATTTGTCAAAGCAGTTGACGCAAGGGATTGGTTCAAATATTATATTAATAATATTCCGCATTGTATAAGCGTTTTGTTATTTAAAAATTTGATCCCAGGTACCAGATGAGAAGATCGATATCTATCGACTTTACACCAGAACTTGTATTATCCAAAATTTTGGGGTGTGAAAAGTTTGAAGAGAATCTTATACTTATTACGCATTTTATAAGAGATATAATTATTCAAAATTTTGGCTCGTTGTGAGAAAGGTACCGGAAGCAGTGATCTGACATAATCCATCTTCACATCTGATCCTGTCTTGATAAAAAAATTGGGATGCGCTCAGTTTGAAAATAATCGGATGCTCATAGTTTTATGAGCTTAATGAATATTCACAATTTTGACCCTTTGAGTGGGAGGTACTAGAGGAAGTGGACCGATATTTTCCATCTTCACCCGAGACATTGGGTTAGTATAAATATTGGGATGTGCTAAAATTTGAAGAAAATCGGACTCATATTTCACTTTTTATAAGAGTTCTAATTATTCAAAATTTTGAACCTTTGTGGGGGTAAGGTACATAATGGAGTAGCCGATATTCGCACCTGACATAGCACTGATACAAAAAATGGGATTTTCAAAGTGGTCTCAAAATTGGATTTAAATTTAGCTCAAATCGGATACTGCCTTCGAGAGTTTTGTAGGTCCTAAAATCCATACCAAACGTTCATGAGCGGCGAAATGCTTTCCCGCTCACAGGAATATAGAAAACATAAAGAGGATCAACAAATACGGACATAAAAACTACAAATAAACCAGAAAAAAGCTGTAAGTTCGACCAGGCCGAACTTTGAATGCCCTCCACCATTTGGAACAAATTTGGCGATTTTCGAACTTCAAATACCAAATTTTAAACAATATAAATTTGAGCAAAGTTTTATCCTACTTTATTTCATTCGGAAGCTAGAGTGATTCCCACAGACGTACATGCGGAAGGACATCTCTAAATTGACATAGAATTTTATGCTGATCAAGAATATTTATTCTTTGTGAGGTCTAAAATGTATATTTCGAGGTGTTACAAACGGAATGACAAACTTAATATACCTTCCATACTATGGTGGAGGTTATAAAAACAATAATTCCTTATCAAAAAATATGGCCATTGATATGACGCGATACTGTCCGCAATTAAAAGCTATTCTGAAGTCACTCATTAAGTTACCTCAATACCTGGCTTATCAAGGAAAAAGCATGGCGGTGGCTTAACAGAAATATCTGCAAGTGTCAAATTGGCTTCCAAAATCAAGTCTCAAAGGGCATTCTATTGCATTCTTCAGAGGCAATAGATATGTTTTGGATATGAACCCATGGACCATCGTGAGGTCCACTATCATTCTTTAATAGTAGTGCAAACATTGGACTTTTTACCAGCCTCATTCAGCAGAATCTATGGCTGTCTTTAAACAAGATTTCGATCAATGCAGATCGTGGCATTTCATCGACAGTCTAATTAATATCCATCTAAGCCAGAGGAGGTTCGTTGTGAGCTATAACAATTAAGAAAAGTTCTGTTAACTTAAATATTAAATATTTAACTCTGTTTAGTTTTTACCTTTATCTGGTTTAGTAACGTTCCAAATTGGAGTAGGCTATCACCAGTCCACTTCTTTTGTGAATTATTACAATGTCCGATTTAATGAATGATGAGGATATATATACCATTTCAATATTTTGATGCACACAAAAATATTTGATTACTTCAAAATTATAATTTTTGAGTGAATTTTGCGCCAATGTTGGGAGCCAAAACCAGAAAATCTTCAGAATTCAGTATAGAATAATACATTTAAAAATCATAAATATCGCTCTATTTTGCATAAGTTAATTACCAATTCTGAACAATTTTTCACAAAAATTTGAAATATTTTAAAATATTTATTGTAGAAGCAATTTAGATAAAACATATACCGAGTTATGATTATTTTCTCTTTTTTTAAACCTTTTGCACATGGTTCTCTTTGACCCACTGTTGTGTATATTGTTCATATTCATTTCAATTGTTCTAGAGAATTGTCTGTGTTTTTTTGTTTCTCTTTTTTTTTCAAAAAAAAGTAGTGAATTAAATTATATTTAGATTTGCTTAAATGACACCCATTCCGTCCGCCTTTATATCTGCTATCTTTAACATTTTGCTAAATATCTATCTGTCCGTTTGGTTTCTTTCGACGGCAGCTAAGTGTCAACAATTAGAATTTGCCACGGCCAGTGAATAAGTGTGTGGTCGCTCTTATGTGCGTGCGTAAGTGAAACCATGCAAATTTACGGGACGACATACGAAGAACACCCATGAAATGGTTAAAAACCTACCTTGACATTTACTAAAAAATAAAAAAAAGAATCATTGGAAAAAATCTTAAAATGAAGTAATTTATAAAACATTTTTGGTTGGGCAATTTTGGTAAAAGAGGGAAATACTAAAAATGATGACCTAAACCATAAAGAAATCCAATAGGGAAAAGTCAAAAGTCGGACGTCGCTGACTATATGATACCCTACACCACTATGCATATTTAGTAGAGCTCTCGTAACAAGAGCATTTATTTGAAGTAGATCATGCCAACTATCAACATTTGGCTTTAGAGCAGTTATAATTTGGTTTCAAGGGGAACTAATATATAGAAGAGATATCCACTTCTGAATCAATTTGCACTAAATTTGAGGCATTTGAGACATTGCTATAGAGTGCATGATATCACTTCGAGAAGGATTATATTAAAACAAGTAAAATAGCTGTAAGTTCGGCTGGGCCGAACTTTGAATTCCCTCCACTATTTGGAACGATTTTGGCAATTTTCAAAAAAATAAAATCCGTTAACAAATCGGCTAAAATCTTGGAAATACCGAATGTAGCCGTTATAGGGAGTTACTATTATAGGGGAGCTATACTATAACGTGGACCTACACAGACAATTTTCTGTCACAGGCTGTAATATTCATTGCGAACATCAAATACCAAATTTGAAACAATTCCGGTGAATAATGTCGCTAAAATAATCAAAATACCGAATATAGGGAGGTACCGTTATATGGGGCTATACCAAAACGTGGACCTACATGGCCTATTTTCAATACCAAAAGTCCTGCAGACATAATACTCATTTGAGTAAAATGTTGTCAACCAACTTCATTTCGTTCGGAAGCTAGAGTGATTTTCACAGACGGATAGACGGACATACAGACGAACATCGCTAAATCAACATAGAATTTTATGCTGATCAAGAATATATACTTTGTGAGGTCTAAAATGTATATTTTAAGGTGTTACAAACGGAATGACACACTTAATATACCCTCCATACTATCGTGGAGGGTATACAAATATATATCGGAGACGAGTTCCACAAAATGGAAAGGTACGTCCCAAAATTCACTCTATTAGCCATTATTTGCACAATAACCTGAAATTGGATTAAGGATATATATGGGAGGTATATCCAAATCTTAGCCCACTCTTTTGGGGTGCATATTACGATTGTGGGGGACTTAAACACCAAATCGGATGAAACATACATATGGGGACTATAGCCATATCTGAACCGATTTTCACCAAATTTAATGGTTTTGATTCTACACCAAATTTAGTTGGATGTGCCAAAATTCAGAACATTTGAACTGATATTGGCCACTTGGTGCACAATTAACCCGAAATCGGTTGAAGATATATATGGGAGCTATATCTAAATCTGATCCGATTATTGCCAATTTCAATAGGGTTCGTCCTTGGGCGCAACAAATAACTCCTTTCAATTACATTGGCAACAACTTCTGAGCCGAATTCATCGAGGACAGGGTAGGTTTAAAACGCACGCCATTTTGCATTGTTTTTGCCAATAGTAGGATCACAATTTACCCACATATATCTCTGCTCAAAAACAATACAGACAAGATTTATTTCTAATTAATATCTAATATTATATTAATTATTGTTTTTTTCAGGCTGTTATTTTACAAAGTATACACGAGACTTATGTAAAAAAGCTGGCATCACGGGTTGGGTAAAGAACTCCAAACAAGGTACGATCGTTGGTAAAATGCAAGGCCCCAAAGAAGAAGTGGATAAAATGTAAGTGTGAATGTAACTATTACTTTTATATTATGAAATTAAAACACATTTTCTCTTCCATCCTAGGATTGATTGGTTATCCACGAAGGGCTCACCCGGTTGTCAAATTGAAAAATGTGATTTAAGAAATATGGGCACATTAAACCGTCTCGATTACAAGACATTCGATATACGATTTTAGTGTATTATTATTATCTTTGTTAGTTACTATTCTTTAGAATTAAGTTTGATGATATTTTATTTATTATATTTTTTGTTATGATCCCGCTTTTCTGTGTAAAAGAAGACGACAATAATTATTTGGCATATGTTTTGTAAAAGTAAAATTTTTAAAATTAAAATTAGGTGTTTTTATTTCTTCATCCCTAAAAGTATGCTTTATAAAGCTGGCTTGTAGGCAATGTTGTTATAACCTCCACCATATTATGGAGTGTATATTAAGTATGCCATTCCGTTTGTAACAACTCGAAATATACATTTTAGACCCTACAAAGTATATATATTCTCGATCTGTGTCGATTTAGCGATGTCCGTCCGTCTATCCGTCTGTCCGTCTACGGAAATCACTCTATGTCAAATGTGTTTTATGTCTGCAAGACTTTTGGAATTGAAAATGAGTGATGTAAGTCCACGTTTTGGTATAGCCCCCATATAACGGTACATCCCCATATTCAATGTTTTGAGGATTTTAGCGACATTATTCACCGTAATTTGATATTTGAAGTTCGTAAGGGATACTACAGCCTATGACAGAAAATTGTCTGTGCAAGCCCACGTCTTCATATAGCCCCCATATAACGGTACCTCCCGATATTTGATACTTTGTTGATTTAAGCGACAATATTCACCGGAATTGTTTAAAATTTGTTGTTTGAAGTTCGTAGTGGATACTACAGCGAATGACAGAAAATTGTCTGTGTAGGCCCACGTCTTCGTATAGCCGCAATATAGCGGTACCTCCCTATATTCGTAATTTTGATGATTTTAGATACATTATTCACCGAATTTTTTTATTCAAGTTTCGCATTTGAATATTGTAATGGTTTATGACAAAAGTTGCCTATGCAGGTCAACGTCGTCGCATAGACCCTAATATAACGGCTACATTCGGTATGTTCAAGTTCCAACTGTTGGAGGGTATTCAAAGATCGGCCCAGCCGAACTTACAGCTTTTTTACTTGTTTTAAAAAAACAATCATGACATCTGTCAACCATCTACATGAGGAGGCGAAGGTCTTACCGAGGCATAATAAAAGGCTGTCATTGAAACACCTGCTTGGATGTTATAAACAGAGCCATCCCAATCTCCATATGGTGGATAGGAAACCTCCTCCCAGGCACGTAAGGAAAGGCTTTCATGATTTAGAGAGAGGGAGAGGTACAAAAGTAAGAGAGCCTCTACATAAACAGGTCTATCAAACAGGAATGAATCGCATTCACTTGACGCGGCCACAAAAGGCATGGAGGAATACAGCGTGAATACCGTACTCGAAGACCACCTGCTTCCATCGCAGCTAAAGACAATTAAGATCAGGATGGTGTAGCCGCCTCAATTCGTATTGGTCCTGGATTGACAGCAGTGTGCAAAAAATTTGCCCAGAATGTGGCAAAGGCCGACAGGAGACGCTGCAACTCTTTCAATGCCCTGCCAAACCTACTCACATAACCCCGGTATTGTTATAGAACCAACCCATACAGATTGCGTCCTTCTTGAATTTGGAGTTATAAACAGAACCAGGTGGAGAAGAAACGGAACGAACAAAGCAGTAGGAACTGCTACGACAACAACAACCAGTAATGTGGATGGTGAAACCGTCTCAATTCGTATTAGGTACGAAGTGACGAAGATGTTCGTGACGTCTGCCCGGCTTGAGATACAGGCCACACAATACGCTGCACGCCTTTAATTGCACAGCCAAATCTACCCAACTCACTTCAGAAGATCTCTGGCTACATCCAGTTCAAGTGGCCGAATTTTTAAATCTGGAGCTTGAACCAGATTGGCAGAATACAAACATCCATGTGTACTACTACAACAACAAAAACAACAACAACTGACGCCACAAGATCTTTTTTCCCCATCGGTGCTGGGTCGGGAATTGAAGAATATTGACTATAAGTACATACAACACCGGCTACGAGACAAAATCTCCCCTTAATAGGGTTCTTTTTTTATAAGTGGTGAAGTATGTATTATTTAGAAGAAGTATGTATCGTCTGGACATCAAGGGGTTCACATTGATACGCATATTTCATTTCATTACTCCATCTTAAAACCATGATAAAATGGAATGGAATTAAGGAAACTTTTATGATCCATATCTAGAGAAGTATAGACTTCTTTTATTGTGGTACAAAAAGGCCCAAAGGACTGATTTCTACGTTAAGACCCGCTCTACGACAAGTACGCAAACATCATGCACAGCTGTCATAACACTTTTTGCGTCATCGTTGGTCATTGTAAAATATGTCCCGAAAATGTTTAAAAGCCTTTCGATGTTTTTTTTTTTTTTTATTTTGGGAAAATAAAGCTCAACTTTCATTCCTACTTAAACAGTGTACCAAATTATGTGTTTAACTGATGACTCAGTATTTCAATCTCTACAGGAATTCCTTCCATAACATAGATGAAACTTAAAAAATTGCTTACCAAGTCCTGCATGTTTTTCTTTTCTTGCTTTCTTGAAATTGATTTTGATTCTTAATAGCTATTTTGCAGGCAAACACATATTGGCTTAATTCTTAAAACTTCACACAGGAATTCGGATTACCCACACTCAATGTTGATTAAACAATTATACAATTTCACAGATTTCTTGTTTTTATTTCATTTCAATCATACTGTTTTAAAGCTACGAACTAGCGATAATTAGCTAAATGCTTCCCCGTCATACAGATACAAAACACTGTATTTAGCATGATTGGAAGCGACCATTGGCCTTCATGCGTTCAAAAGATTTCTGCGCATCGTAGTTCCTGAAATGATACAAAACAACAAAGAGACATGTTACAGAGACTTCCCCTTTATGGATACCAAATTGCAGAACTTACTTGTAGAATTCAGCGTAGGCTTCTTTTTTGGGGTTATTCACAAACAGTTTGAAAGCTGTTGTGACGACGGCAGTCAAACCAATAGCAATGGCCAAACCACGTTTTGTTTGGGCATTATGCAAGCCGCGCATAAGGGGAGCATTGTTGGAAACAGCAGGAGCGTTAGTCATTTTGGTAATTCAAATGGTGAACTCTGCAAAACAGGACATGAACGAACAGGCATTAGAAATTATAGGTTACGTAATGTTACAGAGAAAAATGGGAAAATGAAAAGGAATAATACAAATATTGTGATATTTTGCCAAGGGCCACCGAATTATGTAAATTATCAGTTATGTTGAGTTTATTTGCATTTTTCTTTTGTATTATTACTTGTATTATTGTAATTATATTTATTTTTACAAAAACTGCGCTTACTTTTTTCGTTCTCAAATCTGTGACACCTGAATTTTGGTAACTCTCAACCGAGAAATTTTTTCGTTCTCTACAAATGTCAAATTTCGTTCCAATCAGAGTTGCTTAAATTAGTACTCCTTGTCACTCGCCAATGTTACTAAACTCATGAAGTGGCGTATGACTCTCTGACGTAGTCACAGCGTATGATTAGAGATGTTCTAGAATTTATTGGCTTGCATGCCAAAAAAAAAAAAAATATATATATATATATATATATATAAAGGGCGAAAAATTAATATCAAATTAAAAGGGAAAACAACCTAAAATCTCTTTATGATATGCCACAAAATATTCCATACTATAAAGCTAAGTTGCTTACGTATCCTCACATAAATAAAAATGGAAAAACGCAACTCTGCAAAGATTGTGCCAAAAATTTTTAAATCATGCAAAATTAGTTTTCTTTACATTATAATTGAATTTACAAATTTTGTACATTGCACAAAACCCGTTGGGGGAATATTGGGGTATTCCAGAAAATTTAATCAAAAATAAACAATTTTCAAAAATATATTATATTTTTTGTTGCAAATGAATTTGATACAATTTCTGCATTTTTCTGAAATTCAACTTTAAAAACTTCCTTAAAAAGGTTTCCCATCTACAATAGATTTATAAACAAAAACTTTGACCATGGCAAAATTAAGAAGGTAAAGTCATTCAATCATGCTATGTTTACATTTTTTTAAAATTATCCCTTTGACAAAATTTCATTGTCAGAATGTATATTTATAAATAGAATCTTAATTGTATTATGAGTTTACCAAAGAAATGTCAAATTTATAATTTTGAAAAAATTGCAAACATATGGCTGCATAGAGAAAAAATATTTAAAAATAATAAAATTTTGGAAAAAATAATATATAAAAATATGATACACAAGAATCCCTTGTTAATTCTACCATGTGTTTTTCCAAATGCAAAAATCTACAATTTTTACAAAATTTTTCGATATCATAAAGGGAATATAGGTTATCGTAGCAAAAACTTTTACATTTTTGCACTTCTGGAACAGACCAGTAATATTTTGTTGTTGCAAATTAATTAGGCTTAATCTCATTATTGTTGTTTTTATAAAAGGAAAATAATGTGGCGAATATCCCCAAAGGATTTAATGAGGATTGGTGGCTATTTTTTCAAAACCTAGGTATTCACTGCCTCATTCACGCTTCGACCCAGCTGGTGGGAAGAGATTTTGGAATTGAAAATGTTGAATGAAAAATTAATGAAAATTGCAAAAATTGTTGTAAAATGCATATTATAACAACCTCCGATTTGCATCGTATAAGAAAACATTTATAAATCTACTTATTTTTGATAAAACATTTTAAAATTTTTGACGTATCAATGTTCCTAAGCTTTTATGCATTTACCTATATTATTCTACCATGAGTGTACTGGGACCCAATTCTTGTTCTATGAAAATGTGAAATGAAAACTTTTATAAAGGAAAGAAATGTCAAATGAAAAATTTTTTAAAATAAATATTTTTCATTTCATATTTTCATAGAACAAGAATCCAGCCCCTGTATGTAAAAACAGTGATGCTTTTGGTGAGAGTGTATATTGCACTCCGGAACAAAAATATGTCCGGTCATTAAATCTGGTTAAATAATCCAGATAAAATTTTGTGTTTAAACGTGCTAATATTCATAACATTACGAAGCCTTTAAAACTGGATGGTAAAAAAATTACCTAGGCCATTGTGATAAATGACTCAAAATTCTTCAAAAATTTTAAATGTTCATAAAACAAGGAAAAACATTAATTTTAAATTTTCTGTAAATGAGCTTAGATTTCAGCAAAATATGGCTTTTGTTGTTGAATTATATAACGAATTCCTTGTAAGCTGTTAAGGTGTGGGTACATAAGCAACTTGAAGTCTTCACATGGCATATTTTGTGACATATTATAAAGAGATGTCAGACCCACACTCAGATCCTGCCGTCATTTTCCCTTATAACTTGACATTAATATGCCTAGCCATGATGCCAGGCTATTTATGTACCCTGAACTTTAATTTATTTCTCATTGTTCTGTTTTTATTAAAAAAAAACATCAACAGTTTTGATTTTAATAAGGTTCCATTTAAAAAAAATCAGTTTTGCATACAAAACCTCAAAAAGAATCGAAATAAATTTGTGTAATGGTTTAATAAAATCTCTGTTTTTGTCGCTTCTTTCTTCACTTCCTTACGTTTGTGTGCAATATGATAAATTAAAATATGAATGACGGTAAGGAAAACTCGGCATATTATGTATGTGGCATAAAATACATCTTCGTTTTCAGACGATTTGCTTGTGTAAACGCCTGCTAAATCTCTCATTCAATAATAAACCAATTTAAACATGATGCATGTCCATGTGTCCTAAACTATTGTACGAAAGCGGAGAGAAAAACAAAGAGGCGATGGTCGAGAAAGAGACAGAGGATAGAAATAAGACGTGAAATGAAATGGCAGATTAATGGAGAGAAGAGTGGAGAGTGGAAGTGACTCAAATGCAAATGGCGGTTGTTATTGTTCGTGGTCGGAAATTTTTACAGCACGAATTTTTTTTACAAATTTCATCTAGAATATACAATCTAATTGTAATAAATTTATGAAATTAATCAAATTTAACTACTTTACGTGAAGTGTGTGTAGAAATTGTTATGGAAAGTGCAAAAAGAAACACGAAAAATTTCAATTGAATTTCGGCCTTTTCGTAGAAGAAAGAAAATTTTGTCGTCAATCATATTTTTTTCTGGCCCCTCTTGCTTTTGCTACCAATACAACAACACCATCAACTAACCAACCAACCAGCAGCAGCAACAACAACAAGAGTGAAGAAAAAAAAGTAAAAAGTTGATACTTCGTATGGTTCGTTTTCTACGCCTGTGAAATGTATTTTTTGCTGCCCAAGATTTCCAAATAAGTTATAATTTTTTGTGGTAGCAGTATTAAAAGCCAGAGGCCTACTCAAAAATCTATAGAAAAAAACGAAAATAAAAACAATAATGTCATGCTGTACTACTAGTGCATGTTTGTTGGCCTGAAGAACCCCTCTACACAAAATCGTAGACGAATTACATCAAAGCATCATCATCAACCCAACGTCGTTCAAGTGAAGTGAAACAACGACAATACCTAAAAAAAGCAAAAAGTGAACGATTCGGAACACATCTGAATTGAAAACCAAATAAATGTGTAGAAAACTAATGATGAAAATAATTCAAAACTCAAAAGGAGGTCTATCCAACAGAATTCCGTGTGTGTGCGTAGTGTCGACGAAATAGATTTCTTTTTTCTCTCGAATGAAGGAAGAACACCTAAAATATAAACTACAACATTCGGCATGCACCAACTCCTCCTCGGCACCACATTATTTGTGGCAAGTGCGGCAAATCGTTAGTGGTAACGTGATATATGAGTTGCCTAATGATCGTTTATTGTTTTTAATGTGTATTGAATAGAAAAAATAAAGCAAAAGTGTAAAAAAGCAGCAGAGAAAATAGCTTAAAAATAACCTGCAATAATACAATCCTCATTCAGAGTTGCCATAGAGTTGACTTTTTGCGCAAACAAACGAAACAACAGTGTACGACCGATTATAATAACGTGTGTGAACAAAGTAAACACCAAAAAAATATATATCCCCAATGTGTACATTAAGAGTAAATAGAGTAATAACAATAACAACAACTGCATATTTGTTTTGGTTAAAACCCTTAATATGTGTTTCCAATGTCTCCATGCGAAAATGGATGCAAAATTGTGGTCATAGATTTAAAATCTAGAACTTCATTGGGGTCTCTGTGAGTAGAGGAATCGAAAAGAAGTCGCCGTCGTCGTCGTCGTATCTCCATCCCCACTCATTTTAGAATCATTCAATCTTGTTGGCTTGCAAAGCAAAAAACAAGTAATCTATATATATACATATATGTGTAAGCAAATGCAATTGCCTAATTCACATCGATCGATGTGAAAGAAAATCATACAGCGTTTTTACTAATTATATAATTAGTATTTGTACGCCCTGTGAAAAGCAATTCAAATTAATTTATATAAAATTAAGTAAGAAAACAACAACAAATCACTAAACTATTAATCATCAAAAGGAGTCGAAAAAAAAGAGAGATCCCCGTTAAGCGTGATAGGTGTCGTGTGATGATATGCAACTTAAACAGGTAAGTTATTAAAGAGTGAGCTAAAAAGGAGAAGTGATTAGTTGTGCAAAAGAAATGTTAAATATGCGGGCACATTTATGATAAATGTCATTTTTCGTATATTCTTTAATGGACTTTTTGAAAATATCAATACCAAAGAAGTTTATAATTATGAGGTGGTGAAATGTAAACGTAACCAGATTTAAATTAAGCAAAATTAGTGTTCTTATACAAACAGTTATCGAAGTGCATTCCTTGCTAACAAAAAACCGACATGTTTTATAAAAAGAGACATTATCTGGTTCTTATTGCAATATTTTGTTTACATGATTACACTAAGAGCACGGCACAAATGTCATTTGTCATGTTTGACAATGGTCCCCCGCCACTGTTGTATGGAATACGTGATTACGCGACGCAATTATTTATTGACATAATGGCAACCCTAGTTTTAGTTTATTTTCAATCAAGTTTTCTACTCGCTACTCGGTAATTTTCACTGTCTTCGTTTTGTTTTATCTTTTTCTTCCCGTAGTTCCTCCCGTAGTGTATAGTGTAGTAACAAGTAACTTGTGACGAGTTTTATTTTTGTAGAGATTCAGAGTTTAATCAAAATGGCGGACATTGTTTAATACTAATTTAAATATTCAATTAAATTCCCTTGTCGTGTGGATATACAATTGTTTTTATTCTGCATGGCAAATCAAGAGAAAATTGTACAATCCTGTACTTTTTATAATATCATTAATTCAGCAGTGTATGTGTGTGTGTTCCAATTATTCCAATGCGAAGTTTCCAACCAAATGTGAGTCACTATATTTGTCTCATTCTAATGCATGCAATTCTATATGCGATGTATTGGAATGCTGCTTCTGCTGCTGGTGTATTGATGGTTGCCTGTAATCGTCGATATGTGATGAAAATTACTTGTTTTTCCCCCCAAATATTTTGACAAAAGAAAAGTGAATATTGTTTTGTGGCAAATCATAGCATTTAAACAACCATGTTAAATCGCAAAGCGCAGTGTGAATAGCAATCATAAAATAGAGAATATTGTAAATTAAAAAAGTAAATTATAGAAAAAAGGAATGAACAATTAATTTGGCTAGCCAACTCGTTAGTCTTGTTGCCAGTGTTGCCACTGCTCATTTATTTTGTATAGGCAATGTAGCGTTGCCAATGAAATGTCATAATAAGACGGCGGACTTTTCTTAACCCACTAAAGTAAACAAACCGGAGTTCATACAATTCGAAGTATTTTTTTAAATGCAAATTAAATTGATAATAATTTTATTTAATATGGTGTTTGAATTAATTGATGGATTGATACTTAAGTTATGTGAACATTAGCAAACCTAAATGGTTGAAGTTAAACATTTCCATTAAGTCAAGTATGTTATTTGTGTTTGGTTGCCTAAAAGTTCATAATTTCTGGAAAATATTTGTAAAAGGGCTGTGACTTAGATTTTCGTTGGCAACAGTAAAAAAGGACACTCGTCTAATTTTTTAAAAAACACAAAATGTTTGTTTGTCCAATTGTAATTCAATAAAGGAACGTATTTTCCTATGGTTTGATTCAGGTTGTGCGGTTCTGATTCTGATATAAGATCAAATTTTCTATTATATTGTGTATTGTTTAATAAATAATTCCAACTCGGGACTATTATATATATTGTACAACCGCATGTTTTGAAGCACTTCAATGGGATTCGTAAAGAGGCGCTCTGCTCTGTTCCGTACATTCTAACAGCATTCGGATATTTCAGCCGGTATCTCACGAATAAATGTTTCAATGTTGTCTGCCAATGTGTCAATTGTAGGGGTTCGTCCATATAGACATGTGCTTTAACATAGCCCCACAAATTTCCACACTGGGCAAAAAAAAATGGATACTATCCCAAAGTAGCGCTCACCATTCACAGTTACATTACGATTTGCAGCATCTTTAAAGAAATATTTTCAAACGATGCCACCAGCCCATAAGGCACACCAAAGTGAGACTTTTTTTGGAATCACGGGTAGCCTTTGCAATGCTTCCGATTTACTTGCTTTTGTCGTCGCACCCATTGAGCCAAAAATAAGCTTCGTCGCTGGATGTTTAAATTATATGTGCGGGAACCAATGTGATCTTGTCACTGAAAATTTGCATAAGATTATCTTTTTATACCCTCCAACTTGAAAAGGAGGGCATATTAACTTTGTCATTCCGTTTGTAACATCCCTGAATATTCGTCGTAGACCCCATAAATATATATATATATATATTCACGATCAGCATAAAATTCTGAGCCAACTTAAAGTAGTCCGTCTGTTTGTTGAAATCGCGATACAGCCCAAATTTTTTGACGTAGAGCTTCACAATTTCGCAGAGCAATTTGTATTATGTATAGGATGGTTGGTATTGAAAATGATTTGTATCGGTCCACAATTTGGTATAGCCGCCATGTAACGTTATCTCCCCGGTATTCGATCTCTTGATGATTTCGTTACATTTTTTTCACAAATATGACTAAAAATTGGTATTTGTAGGTCATAATGGGTTCTAGCTCTGGTGGCGAAATATTGTATGTATAGGTCCATGCTTTTGTATAGCCCATTAATAACGGTAACATCCGACATTCGGTATTTTGATGATATTTGCAACGTTTTTCCACGGATTTGACTAAAAATTGGTATTTGTAGGTCATAATGGGTTCTAGCTCCGGTGGCGAAACATTGAATGCATAGACCCTCGTCTTTGTATAGCCCCCATATAATGGTATCTTCCGATATTCGGTATTTTAATGACTTTTGCCACATTATTCCATGGATTTTTCTAAAAATTGGTATTTGTAGGTCATAATGGGTTCTAGCTCCGAAATATTGTACGTATAGGTTCACGTTTCTGTATAGCCCTCATATGACGGTACCTCTCGATATTCGGTATCTTGATGATTTTCGCCACATTTTTCCACGAATTTTTCTTAAAATTGGTATTTGTAGGTCATAATGGATTCTTGCTGCGGTGCCGAAACATTATATGTATAAGTCCACGTTTTGCTGTAGCGCACGTATAGGGATTCCCACCGATATTCGGTATTTTGATAATCCTAGTCACATTTACCCATGAAATTGTTTCAAATGTGGCATTTAAGAAGATTTGGTAGATGACAATCCTTGAAATATAAAATTGCCTATATAGGTCTCCGCTTTGGTATGGCCCCCATATAACAGCCTTACCCACTTTATGTTTTTTTTTTTTTTTTTTTTTTTTTTTTTTTTTTTTTTTTTTTTTTTTTTTTGAAAAGTTTAACACCATTATCCAAACGGTATTTTTAGTTTGAAGTGGAACACGTTTGAATTCAGATACTTTACTAAAAAATTGTTTTCCGATGACTTAAGCCAGCCAAATGAGCGCTGTATGTATTTCCACCTTCAATGTTTTTATTTTTTTTACTGGTTAATTCTACCATGGAAATATCCTTCCATTGTCATTCCTATTTCTTGTCATATTTGTTTATTAATATTTGATCCTTTCTCATAGATCTTGCTTTGTTTTTAATTTTGCTTAGAAATTTAGGACCCTTTGTGACCACTTTATAATGTCCGCTATAGTTTAACTTTGTTATATTCAGTTTTTAAATTTTCTGGAATGAAACATGGACCACCAATTTTATGAACATTCACCATAATCATGAGTTATAGGAAACTTGTGTTTCTAGTTTTAGTATTTACTGTTAAATTTTGGTAAAGTTCGGTTTTGCAGCACATGCGACCGGAACTTCGTTTTTGATCAAACAATAATACCTTTCCAATGATAGTTTTATTGTATTACAACCATACTCTTCTATATAGATACTTGCTTAATCTAGAATTCATATCATTTACAGCAGCTTGAACCGTACATGCGGATAACAGTGCAAATCCCTAAGGATGCGGCGCAGAGGTTACGCCAATTGGCAACCGAGAGCAATGCAACTTTACGGGCTCTCGGCATTAGCTCCGTACAATTAGAAGGAGATTCTGTGATATCACTAAATGTTGGTGGACAGCAAATCGATGTCAAATCTACAGGTACGTAAGATCGTTTAAGTATTCCTATGCGGTATTTTTTTACAAATTCTTTTTGTATTCTTTTTCAGATATTTCATCGATTTTGGGTCATGAGGCGTCAGGAACGTCTTTGGGCGGTGGTAGTAGTGGGGCCGTCAGTGACGGTGGTGATATTGGCGATTTATCACAATTACTCAATGTCGGTGGCGGAGATATTGCTGGTGGTGGTGGGGGTATGGGTGCAAATAGTGCGTTTGTACAAATGCCACAAACACCACAACAGCAACTACAACAATCATCGCCATCATTACTGCAACAGCAACAACAGAGATCAAATGTTGTTGGAGCAGTTGGTGGTTTCATGGGGCAAAACATGGTGGGACCGCTGGAAACCAACAGTGCAATGTCAGTACAACAGCAACAACAAATTATGCAACAGCGTAGAAATATAATGCTCGGTGGACCCAGTACCAGCAGTGCCGCGATTAAGCAACAACAATCTGCATACGGCCCGCAAGGCCAACAGCAACAGCAGCAGGGAGTTTTCAAATCGCCAAATACTGTTTGTCCCATGGAGGGCAAAGTGCCGGTACCACCATTACCAGGGAGCTTCGGCAATAATTCAAGGGAATTTCCATTTGAAAGTATGCGTCAGGCTCGTGTTCTACAAGGTCGTGATAATGCCCTTAATACTCCTGGAAGTCAAACTGTGCCAGTCCCTGGTGGCATTCCTGCAGCTGTTGCTGGTTTTCAAGGAAACACAGCTGGCATGCAACAGCCAATGATGAGCGGTGGCAATTTGGGACCACCACCCAATCACCTAAAGGTGATAAAAAATCCCCAAAGCGGAGAAATTTTAACGACCACAATTGGTTCTACGGCGGGCAAGGCACAATTCTTGCAACCACCACCTCCGCCATATCCGGGTGTAGGCAATGTTAATTCCCCCAATTCGCCAGTGGCAAATGCCCAGATGATAAAACAGGCACCAAGCTATTTGCATTCGAGAGTTGTGGCTGCCTCGCCAACAGGAGCGCCTCCAAATGCCATGTTATCGTCTGCAAGTGGTGGCATTGCAAGCGGAGGATGCAACAACAGCAATAATATCGCCATGTCATCACCCCTTTTGGTAAATTTGTTGCAGAACGATAGCAGTTCCATGTCATCTCAAAATGGAAATCACATGAAACAGTCACCCCTGACGTCACCGCAGCAACAACAATCACAACAGCAAGCCTTAATGCATTCACAGCAGCAACAGTCACCAATAATGGCTACCATGAACAGTCCACAACAGCATATCATGAATTCGCCCATGAGAACTAGTACTCCGGGCATGGACTTCATGATAACACAACAGCAGCAACATCAACCTCAGGTACAGCAACAGATGTTGGCCGCGCCAGGAACACCTGATAATATTTTAAATGTGCCTTCTTCACCCACTGCATCAAATGCCATGCGCATCCAGGGCCCAGCTCAGCAGCAGCAGCCGCAGCAAGTTATGGTCAGTCCGAGCAGTAGTCTTTATGTTCAGCAGCAGCAACAACGTTTCCAGCAACAGCAACAAATGTCGCCACAGCAGGCGACATTGCTGCGTCAACAGCAACTGCAAAGGCAGCAACAGCTACAGGCTGCTGCAAATGCAGGCGGTGGTCTTCAGCAGGTGCAGCAGCAACGTTTTATGCAACAGCAATCACCGCAACAGCAACAACAACAACACATGCAACAACAATCTATGGGTTCAAATGCAATGCTGGTATCGCAACAGCAGCAGCAGCAACAGATGAGGCAGGTGCGTGTGGGAAATATGTCGCAACAAACTCCAGCATCTCCATTGCAACAGCAACATCAGCACCAGCAGCGTTTAATGGGTATGGCAGCGGGACAGCAACAACAATACATGTCCATAAATGCCGGTAATATGTCACCCGCAACAGCACATTCTCCAGCCTCCAGTCATCATTCGTTGCATAGTCCCCACATGACGCCGCATGCCCATGCCCAACAACAGCAAATGGCATCCCCTTCAACCACACCCGCCCAGTCCCCTCTCAATGCGTCACAAATATCACAACAGCTGCTGCCACCTCCGCCTTGTCCTTCGCCGGCGATAACGCACAATGTTAACGCTACTGCTGGCCATCAACCTCCTCATCCCCCGCCCGTTCCTGCATCTTCACAACACACAGTACCTTCTTCACCGTCTGCCAATAGCGGAGTCAATGCGGTGCAACCGCCACCACCGCCCGATTACAATCAAGTAACGGCATCGGCCAACTCCTCAGCAGCTTCCTCTTCCTCCGTCTCCAGATGGCCTGCAGCATTGAGTAAACCCATGGACTCCAAGACAAAGAGCAGTTTTCAAGAATTTGCCCGTTACCAAATGCAATACAATTTGCAGCAGCAACAGACCAAACAACAAGTACAACAAATTATTTCCAACATTGCGAATTCATTGCCCGGCGCTACACCAACACCCACAAAAACAAACGAAACAACAGTGGTGGTCGATGGCAGTGCTGGCAATAATAATGTAAATCCTGTTGGTGGGGGAACGGGTCAAACAACGGCTACTAACATTTCAGCGGCGTCAGCGGCGGTGGGCAGCAACGCCATGGTGGACCCAAACAATGTCGATGACTTAGCGGAACATCTAATTTCGTTGACAGGCCTAGATGCATTGACAACCAATGATTTGGATGCCCTGCTGCCTACCTTGAGCTGTGATATCGATTCATCGTTGAGTTTTGATGATAAAAACGAATTGGAATCTTTGCTGCAGGATGCAAAAGATTTGGATTTGGATCTAATCGAAGGTATGGATATTGATGAAACGGCAGCTGCGGCATCTTCGCTGTTGACGGCCGATGAACAGATACCGCCGAATGTCACCTTGGCAATGGAACAAATGCAACAGTCGCAGCAACAGCAGAATATGACTCCGCAGCAAATGTTGCAGCAGCAACCCCAGGGACAAGTAATGATGCAGCAACAGCAACAACGGTCAATGGTGCAGCAACAGCAATCGCAACAAATTCTGCAGCAACGTCTCCAACAGCAGCACCCCAATATGCAACAGCAACAGCATCCCCATCTTCATCAGCAACAATCACAATCCATAAACCAAAATCCAGTGCCTCAACAACAATTTCTTATGAATTCAAGTCAGCAACTACAACAGCAGCAGCAGCAACAGCTTCAAAGACAATTTGCAATGCAACAACAACAACAACAGCATCAGCAACAACAACAACAGCACTTGGGCAATCTGAATAATGTGTCGACATCCTCCTCCACAGCATCGCTATCGAACACCCCCAGTACCAGACCACACTCCCAACAGAAACAATTCCTTATAAATCCCTTAACCGGAGAATTGGAACCCAGCCCAAGTGATGACAGTGAAACGGAGGCTGAACAAGAGACCATTAACACTCCCCACCACCATCAACAGACGCATCAGCAGCAGTCTAATCTCAATACATCGCTGAATACAAGTTTCACTCCAAATAACAGCGCCAACTCGGCCAGCATTTACGACCTCTTGCCGAATTCAGTTAATTTCTCCGAAGACTCCAATTCAAATTCATGCAGTACGGCTCTATCAAAACTCTCGGCCTTGGATCAGAACAATAGTGGCACTCTCACCCCTCTGCCCATGGGTGCTGGGTCGGACACGGAACGTTCTCGGGACTCAATGATATCGAATAAATCTCAAAAGAACAAAAAACCGAAGAGTGGTGGAACAATGGGCAGTAAACCAGTTGGTGGTGGCGGTGATATTATGGGTTCGCCCAGGTCTGCATCGTCTTCGCCCTCTGTGGGTGCAATGATGATGGGTGGTAATGCCAATGTTGTTGTCACGCCCACAAGTGGTAACAAGAAGGCCAAAAACAACTTGTTGAGAGAGAAATTACAACAAGGTGTTCGAGAAAAGAAGAGCAAAGAGGCCAATGCCACACCAAAGGTGAAGAAAGAAAGAGCTAAGCCGGGAACAAAATCGAAAGCAGCCCTGGCAGCGGCGGCGGCTCAACAAATGGCAAAGAATGCGAATACTGGTTCGGGGACTGGTGGTGCAGCTTCGGGAAATGTTATGATGGTGAACCCTTCAATGATGCAAACTCAAACGAGCAGTGCAGGCGGCAATTCAATGATGAATAGCAACCAAGCTGATGGTTCGAACAGTTCTCAGTCATCTGTGAGCACCACAAATATGGTGACAACGGAAAAGATTAAATTGCGTTTAAAATTGGAAAAATCGGAACCAGTCTCGCCTGCCTACAAAGTGGATGTTTCATTTGGTAATGATAGTGCCACGCAACAGCAGCAGCATCACCATCATCAACAACAGCAACAGTCGCAAATGAACGCTCAACTTTTGTCAAATAGTGTTGTGCAACAACAGCAGCAGCAGCAGTTGCAACAACGTCTTCATTCCCATTTTCAGCAAAATCTAAATTTTAGCAGTCCACAACAGAACCAGCAACACCACAACATGCAACAACAACAACAACAACAAATGCCCACAAACCCGCCACCACAATATCCGATGCAGCAACAAGGTGATAATATGTTTCCCCAGCCCTCATCATCCAGTGTAAGCACAAGTAGTACAAACACCACTCCCAGCAGTACAGCAGCAACAACCCCAGCCACCACGCCAACGGAGGAACCCCGGGTGCCTCCTTTGCACATCAGTTTACGGGGCGGAAAGAGCTCCATTGTGATTAAGAACTCACGTAAGGAACGGAAGAAGGTTCACAATGCGAATAACAACAACCACGATCAGGATGCCAATGGTGGTGGTGGTGCTGGTGGCGGTGATAAAATAAAAGCACCATCATCACAGCTTAAGAGGCCACACATCGTTTCCACTTCTCAAGACTCAAATTCTCCTGCATTAGACGAACAAAGTGGTGGCGCCAGTAGTGGGGGAGCCAGTGAAGCTAAACAGGCCAAAATTGTACAACATATTATGAAAACAACAACAACAACAACAACTCCACAAATGAATGGAGCCTCTCCTAGTTCCTCCTCATCAACAAGCTCATCAACCACCAACAACGTTACCAATGAAACAAACAAAATGCTTGGTCAGCAGCAGTCCACTGCTGCCTCCTTGCTGTCGGGTAAAAATGGTCTAACCATAAGTGCAATGCAAAGTTTGGACAACAACAACAAGTCGCAGTCTTCATCCATGGCTCTGATGGGGGACAATCAGGGTCTGGGCTCGAGCAATATTGGCACCATAAGTCACCTACCGCCACAGCAGTTGTTGCAACCCTCAACCCAACAACAACTGGCCAAAATAACTTCGTTACCAAATAGCATTACTCTAAGTACGATTTCCAATCCAAATGTCAGTAGTGGTGGTGGTGGGAGTGGCAGCAGTAGCATTGGTATAACAACCAGTGGTTTGAAACACAACCTCAAGACGTCTGCCATCATAACGCCAATCCAAGGAAAACCTCTAACAAAAAACCATAAACCACCGTCGTACATTACGGCGGTACAACAATTGCAGTTGCAAAAGCAACAACAACAACAGCAGTTGGCAGCCCTGGCCGAAAAACAGACTCAACAGCAAATGATAGCGGCCGCGGTAACGATGCTGCCAAGTGCCACGACCTTGAAGCGAGTTGAAATCACCAAAGTCGAGAGGAAGGATGCAAGCGGAAAGGTAATCGAACATGTGCTGGTGAAATCAAATGAACCAGTTGCCGTGACATCATCATCTGTTCCATCGGTTCAGCTTGGTTCCTCCAATGCCAGTTATAGCACATCCAAATCTGCAACACTGCTGCAAGGTACTACGACCACAATTAAAGCCACCCAAGTGGTAGCCGTTTCATCATCGTCATCAGCTTCCCCTGCCACAACAAATGCAACTCAAACACAGTCGGTTGCATCTAGCAAAACCCCGGATGTAACACCACAAAACACATCATCTGCTGTTGGATTGTCTACGGTTGGAGGCAGCGAACAGAGTCCCAGTCAACAGAGTTCCATAAATGCTGGGACAACATCAACTGCCAGCAGCAGTAGTATGAGTTGTGCTTCGACATCGTCGTCCTCGGCATCTCTTGCTACAACTTTACGAAATTCGCCAGCAAGTACCGGAGGAGGTACGCCAGCTCATGCCAATAGCACAGGGGGCGAGGATAGTGGGATAGAGTCAATGGATGCCTTATCAGAGAAATCACCCCATCAACTCACCTCCAGTAGTCCACAATCCCTACAACCTCAGATGCCTCAGATGGAGAAGCTGCCAACACAAATTCTAGCAAAATCCAATTCAACTTCATCTTCGTCAGTATCGGGAAGCGGCATAGCAAAGCCAAATGAAGACATAAGCATTGCCGATGATGAAATCGAAAAGGCTTTGGCCAAGATGGAAGGTTTCACTGAGGATGATCATTTGCTAACAACGAACGAAGCAAATGCAACGGAAGAGACGTCTAATGATGACAAACTAGGATTAGAGACACCAAAAGTGAATGGCGATCACTCACTAATTTTTGGAGAGGAGGATGATGGTGGTAATGCCATTAGAAGAGATGGTTATCAACACCACCATCATCATCATAACCATCATGGAGATGATGATGATGATGACGAGGAGCTTATAAAGAATTTAACAGCCAGCATAATGGAGGAAGAAAAACTAAAAAACGAACTCAAAGAACAGGAAAAGAAAGAAAACGAACAACGCAAAGAAGAGGAGGCAAAATTTAAGGAGTCGCCAACAATTGCTAAACATCAAACACCAGTGCAAAGTCAAATTGTTGTAGAACCATCCAAAGGCAATGAACAAGAAAAACTTGATGGTGGTGCTGGTAGTGGCGAAGCCAAAACTGAAGTTAATTACAACAACAACTATGACAAACACATGGCATCTGAGACAGAGAAGAACAAGGAAAAGGATACAAATACCACATCCTCCACTAAATCGGAGGGGGCCAGCAGTAATAAAAAGGAAAGTCCCTCCTCTCAAACAAAATCAAATTCTTCAGAAACTGCTCAAACCACCGCCGCTACCAAAGAAGATACCTTGAAAACATCGGAGCTATCCATAAGTCTAACACCGATATCAATTGAAATTCCCTTGCACTCGACAGATATTGACTCGCCACGTATTCGAACAAGAGCTAGTAGTCGTTTGGGTAGTCCCATGGATACAGCCAAGTCCAGCCCTTCTCTTGCCGATGGCCCAGCCACTAATGCCACACCAAATACTGCGGCGAAGAATAAACATGTTATGGCTGCAAAGTCGTCAGTGCATGAGCGCGTTAGTGTTAGTCCTAGGAATGCCGCCTCATCGAACAACAACAACACCAATTCGCCCTCGGCGGGTGCTACATCCAATCATCATTCGCAGTCGCATCAATCTAACAACAATAAACGCAAACGTTTGGAATCGGATAGTAGCACTGCTAGTGCAAACGAAAGTGATGCCAAACGGGCTCGCAGTGGTAGCAACACTGGCAGCAGTGCTGTCAGTTCTTCCTCAGCATCAACACCAGTTAGTGGGGCAAGTGCAAGCGAAAGTAGCAAAAAATCATCGGATAGCCTTGATAAGAACAATACTGCCAACAACAGCACAGGTGCTGCCACGACAGCAAAAAAGTTAGAAGAGTCTTCCGATTCGGATGAACCTTTAATTGAAATTGCTGGAAAAGTAAGAAATTCGAAAGCAGCAGCTGCGGGCAGCATTGAATCATCATCTACAACGTCTTTATCCCTGTCCACCTCCTCCACATTGACGGCATCGTCATCTAATAATCAACAAAATGCTGTCTCTGCGAACCATGGCAACGTCACCGGAAGTCCAACAACCGTGATGGAGACCAACACAGAAAAGACGACAAGAAATAGTCGTTCGCATCAGCATCATCCACATAATAGTAAGTATCGTTTGAATTTTGAGATGTCGGAGATTTGAGATTCCGAATGGAATCAGATTCAGCGTTAAAGCACAATTATATTACAGACCATTCATTTTACATTTTTCATTTCTGTTTTAGAGTCTTCTAACAATGTCCTGAACAACTCGACTGTTGTTAACAGCAACAACAATAATAATAATAACAACAATGAGTCCAGTGGTATTAGTTCTACAAAAACCCAAAAACACCATTCAGGGAATAACAACAATCATTCAGCGCCATCTACAACTGGCAGCAATAGTGCGGCAGCAGCAGCAACTGCAACTACACCAAATACAACAAACTCAACACATGCAACACGAGGAACTACACAAGGGGCAGCAAATGCCAGCAGCAGTAGCACCACTACCACAACGCCAAATAATACCACAACAACAACAACAACAAATAATAATATACACCACAATCCAAATACGGTGGCAGCCACCGCACAGGCAACAACGACGCCAAGTGGCAATAGTCCAAGTGATAATGAGAAAATCGGTACACGCCGTAGTGTCAGAGCATCAGCTGCTGCCAATAAAATGATTTATACCCGGGGAAGCAGTGCAAATTCCACAGGAGGTGCCGCATCTGCCAATACGGCGTCAGCAAGCCATGGAACCAGTGAAATTCATGCAAAAACAACGGGTCATTCTAAAGCATCTGCTGCCGGTGTTGGAGGCAGTGTTACGAGTTCCGAAAGTGCTGCTGAAGCACGACGAAAAACACGTAGTGCTGGTAAGTTGTGATCTTTGTTTGCATATTCCATTCCATATAGATATTAACATAAGTGCCTTCTCTGTTCTATCTATCTGTAGTTATTGGAGAATCTTTGTTGACCGAAGGACGCCGAAGAAGAGGGTCCAGAGACTACAAGTGACCATTGTCTTGCGCCTCGGCTATAGGAACTGAGGATAACTACGATTTTTATGTATTCCAAGATGATGAAGATGATGATAACGATGTGGAAGTACATGAGGGTGATGAACAACATTCCCAAGATATCAATTTCAGTACAATTTTGCACATGCCCGAGGCGCAGGATCAACAACAGAATGACAAATCAGATGGGTCGTTGGTAGTGCTAGTGGAGGAAGAAAGTGATGACGATGATGATGCCGATCGCAATGTTATTGGTGAGGCAGTAGTGGAGTTGGATAATGTAAGACGAACAGCATTTGCTGGCTACACGGAGGCTGATGATGTAGGCATTGTCATCGACGACAGTGAGCCCGATGAGTTAATGGCCAATTTGGCCAATGATGAGGCCGCCGCAGAAACGGCAAATTTATTGCTACCCGAGGAACGTCAAACCAATTTTGTCGACTTTGATGAGTTCAACATTTGCCTTAACAATATTCTCAACGATGACGATGTTGATGTTGAGGCGGAACTTTCTCCCTCGATTGTGATAGACGATGCTCTGGCTGCCAACCATGATGTGGATCATATATTCAAGATGAACAGCAGTAAGCATACATCAACAATGCAGCATAATCTATTGGATGATATGTACAGCAAGAACCTTAACACCGGCGGCAGCGGCGGCAGCAGCAGCAATGTTGGTGCCAATGATATGCATAACAACATTCTGGGAAATCATCGTAATGATATGCTGAATATGGTGCAGTTTGAACATATGGAATTTAGTTTTGACTCAGAACTGAGTGAACATGCAGAGACAGCTACAACCCCGTCAGCAGTTCATGATGTTCACGATCCAAATTACAATCAATCCTCAAAGAATGTGAGTTTCATGGAATTTCTAAAGGAAGATAATTTAGTTGATCATATTCCACGAATGGATGTGAAAAATCCTCTGCATACATCTGCAACAGCAACAGTGTCTGCATCTGTAACGGCAACCACAACCGCCTCCTCCTCCCCCTCCTCCTCCTCTAATAATAAGATCAACATGAAGAACATTGTTGAGGGTGGCGACAATGATGATAGTGATAGTGTCAATGTAGTTGCTGGTGATGATACCCGAAGAGCCTTAAATGCCATTAAACGCAATAATCATAGTATTGTAAATATATTTCAATAATATAAAAACACATTCTTATATATTTATAAATTATACTATATTTTAACATAACATTTTTCCACCCCCTTCATTTCTCAAGTTTAATTTCGATTAAGCTCCCCACTACCACTCTCCCTTGTCATCATATGAACATCTATCATTGTGTTTCGCTTGCAATGTCCATAGAAAATTTGCTATAATTTCATTATTATTTTCTAGTCAATTTTTTTATATAACATCAGCATATATTCATTTGTTTATTTTTTATTGGTTTTCCTGTAATTTTTTTTTTAAGAAAAAAGTTTTCTTTGGATTTCAGAAAAGAAAAAATATCGTTTTCTCATGTTTTCTGATATTAGACATTTGTCTGTCTGGCCCCTGGCAATAATAAATTGCATATATCTTGACTGCTGCTACCGCCATCAACTTCTGAGGATGGCACTAGGAAATGTATTTTCTCAAAAAAATACTTTAAAAAAATTTCCAATCGGCCCAATTACGGTTGTCGTTTCTATAGTCATCGTCGACGTTATGTGCAAGTCGCTATCGCCGCCGCTACGATTCAAAAATGGTATTACGGCCAGGAATAGAAGCGACATCGAAAGTTTAAAAAGAAGATTGGCAACACTTCCATGTTGTTGAAAAAAAAAAAACGTAAAAAATTGTTTGCATCGGCGAGTGCTAAGGCAGCAAATAACCATATTTGCATTGTAAGTAATATTGCCTATATCGGCTAAGTGGATCCGAGTCTAGCCCGGGTCTTGTACCCGGACTTTCGAGTCAAAAATAGTTTCCCGGGATCAGGGTAAAAATACCTACCTCTAGAAAAAAATCGATGAGGTTTTATTAAACTAGAGTTGTTTCAATTGGACACAGGAATGAGGTTTTTAGCGCTAGGATCTTAGTAGACCAGTGCCGGAAATGACTTCAATATTTCCAAATTATTTTTTTTTGTTATTTTCATGGTCAAGTGGTTAAATATCAACGAAATGGTTTAAATTTCAATGTCGATTAAAAAATAAAATGTCGTCACATTTTTTACGGCGACAGATAATCTCTAAAAACAACTTCATGTCGACTGTTGTATCGACAATGATAATAACAACAAAGGAGGCCTAGTCTTAATTTTGCGTCGCCTTGACTTAATTTTGCGACGACAACCGTAATAGGGCCGAATGTCAATTTAATTGAAATCAATTAAAGAGTCTTCTATTTAATATATTTTGAAAACTTTATTAAAAATATTTGTTCCAAAAATTTAAATATTTTCAATGGAAATAATTCAATTTATTAAACTTGCAAGGTTGTAGGTATTATTATGGCCTATATTTTTATAGGTCTATATTAAGTTTTCCCTCTGAATTCCAGCTCCAAAAATATGACTACTAATGAGGGTAATCATATTTATCCAGGTATTCCCAAAGGGGGTATCTTACAGAAAATACATGTCCTGGTTAAAGACCCAACCAAATGCAGCAATTTTGAAATTGTTTTTTGCCACACTTCCTTTTTTTGTAAATAAATATTCTTTATCGATCACCACCCCCCCTACACACCGCTCTAAACTACCAACCACTATTTACATATGTGACAAATAAAATTAAATGCAAAAATATACACCAAAATCTGTCCCAAAACCCAAAACAAACACAAATAACAAAAAATATACAATAATTAACGAAATGCAATAACAACAACTACATAATTAATTAGTTATATTTATGATTTAAGTAAAAAATTAATCTCCCCTTTACTCCTCAAACAAACCAACAAAATGCAAAACAAAATAGTAACCTAGAATATGTTTTCAAACTGTAAACGAATGAACGTTATTTAATTTAAAAAAATGACCTTTTTATTATTTAAACAAAAAAAACTAAAAGTAAAACACCATAAAATTGTAATTTCATTGTTAAGGAGTATGATGTATATATTGTATAATGCTATATTTTAAATATTTTTAATTCTTTCTTTTGTATTTCTTACAAAAACAAAAATACCAACTTTATTCTTTATATTATAATATTATTATGATGATGTGCGCAACAATGCGTCTCTGCTACATTTATATCCTTAAGTTTTCTTTTTGAATATTTAATAATATATAAATATAAAAAAAATATGTTTAAAAACAAAAAACGATATCATTTAGGTTGTTTATATAGTTTTATTTGTATTCTTGTTATTGTAAATTTAGTTTCCATTTTTTCTTTTTTTAATTTAAGGAAAACGAAATTATGTGTCCCTAAATGTGTGGTGAGCGGCGGGAATAAATGTGCTCTCGTTGCATTGACACCACACCAACATCCACACACACACACACAAAGATACAAAACATCTCTTTAAAAATACACCATCAATGTTAAGTAAAAAAAGGCTTAGGTATTAAATACTTATTATGTTTCCTTAAAGATAAAAATCATTGATTTATTTCGTTTTTTCTTTTTTCAATTCATTAAAACAAATTATGAAAAATAGCTGTTTTGTGTTTCTACACTGTAATAATGATGGGTGGTAACAACAATAGTACTTGAATACTGGAATTCTATATTCATTGTGTAAGAATTATATATAAAGTAGTACGATTTTATAAATAAATATTTAATATAAGAATACCATTTCTTATATAAGTATTTTAACAAAATTGTATTTATTTTTTCTTGTATCTTTAGTTTTGTTTTAGATTGCTTGACGGACAACATGACTAAGAAATCGAACTTTTTTGTAGTTTTGAAACAGGAACAAGTACCTATTTTTTAAATTCCCAAAATATTTTTATGTGTATACACTTCACTTTGATATTTAAATGTCTTGCAATCCCATAGATTTTGATTTTTATATCGGAAGTTCCACCAGAACAAGACAATTCACTCTTTTCAAAAAAGGAATATAAAAGTTTCATTAACGTATAATAATATTAATATTAAATTTATATTTTTGAATGGCTATAAAAGGGAGGCACATGTGAAGCCACCGAAGTATAGAAATGCGACATTCTGGAATCAAAATATAGACACCAAGTGGGTACACTTCTGTTGTTATGATACCATATCAAAATAGTTACCAATTTTAAGTGATTTTAACCGCTGTCAATATTTAATTAATTGGTAAAGTTAATGAAGTACAATATTTAGCCCATATTTGTGGTCCACTGTAAATTTTATTTGTCATGCTGCTCTATAGTTGTATTTTTTCCAGAGCACAGTGTGAAACTTGCTCTCAAACGGTATTGCTCGGATAGCGGTATATTTTATGGAGTTTACTCTTCACTTCACTTTGATTTGATCGTATACAGAAAAAAAAATACACATACATAGCATGGTAGAAGAATACAGGGTGAGATTAAAAAAAAAACTGCAACAAAGTCAAACGCCATGATTTTTACATTTTTTTTTTAATTTTATTGAAAGAAAGCAAAAAATGTCGGAAATAGCATCAAATTTTAGAATAACTTTAACAAACAAATTATGAGTGCTTAGCATGGTAGAAGAATACAGGGTGAGATAAAAAAATTGCAAAAAAAGTCAAACGCCATAATTTTTACATTTTTCTTTTTTAATTTTATTGAATGAAAGCAAGTAGAAATAGCATCAAATTTTAGGATAAAATTTAGATTTGTTCGATTTGGTCACCTTTGGCACGAATTGTGGCCTTCAAACGGTCAATGAAACCGTCACACGCTGCCCGAATGTTGCTCTGCGGTATCTTGGCCCATTCCCGGCGAAGCGCTTGATTGAGGTGATCGACTCTTTGGTATTTTTTAGTGCCAACCTTGCTTTTCAAAGTACTCCAGACACAATAGTCCAACGGATTGGTATCGGAGATTTCGGTGACCTATGTGCGCTGGAAATGAAGCAAGGAACCTCATTTTGTAACCATTCTTGGGTGGAGCGTGCTGAGTGCGATGGTGCTGAGTCCTGTTGGAATGTCCAA